GAAGAGCTGGATTATGCCCACTTATTTGCCCTCTAAGTCCTCACTAAAGGTATCAGCACCTACATACCTACTGTGTAAAATGCAATGCCCCAATTTGTCAGGTCATGAGCATATGTCATGATTAGGTCAAGCACTACATTTGAGCTACTTGCAATGATGGCAAACTCACCTGTTCAACTCACCTGTTGGGGGTTCCCTGCCTTCCAGAGTACAGCATAGAGGATGTGCATAGGATACGTGAGGAAGGAACCCGCGAACGTAGGGCTCGCCCGGCGGAGACACCACAAGGGGGTGCTGCCAAGCCGGGAACAAGAGCCTGCATAGTGACAAACACGAATTTTGCGATAGTTTCATGATACATACAATAAAAGATCGTATACAATAATGCAAACACAAATTAGGGGAAACAGGTCAACGCAATAGCCATCACATATGATAAGAGAACAAGGCATCACCCATCGAGTCAGCCAACATGGCCTTGAACCTGCTCAGGTCGGGTTCACCTACGACCTGGTCAGGGAGTGCGTTCCAAGCGGTGATACAACGCTTGCTGAAGGACCTGGTCCTGACATCAGTTTGTGCTCGAGTGTGGCGGATTTTGAACCTGTGGCCTCTGGTACTAGACGAGGGATCAAGTTCGAACATGGTAGTGGCATCTATACAACACTTTGCGTGGAAGATCTTCCAATATTGAATCAGATCGGCACGTAGAAGTCTGCCCTGGACCGAGTACTGGTTCAGAGCCCTAAGCCGGGATTTATAATCAAGCTCTCCCATGCCTAAGATCTTTTTAGTCCAACGGCGTTGAACAGATTCGAGGAGGCGCACGTCCCCTATATACGCAGTGTGCCATACACATGAGCAGTATTCCATGATGGGTCTTACATGAGTGTTGAATAAAGTGAGCATGAAATCAGGGGATCTGCAGACAGTTGACCTTAACAAGTTTTGGGTAAGGCCAGCAGCCTTTTGCACTGTCAAAGCCACATGCTGGTGAAACTTCAGGTCAGAATCAATAAGAACCCCGAGATCAGTGTGGGATTTCACGACCTGAATCGATGTTTGGTCTAAGTGATAGGACGGGGGAGGTAGGACATGGGACCTTCTTTGAAAGCGGATGACCACACATTTTTTCAGATTTAAGTAGAGACACCAGGACTCTGCCGTGCGTTGTAGCATCGTTATGTCCTTCTGACAAGCCTGTGAATCACGACAGTAGTTAGCTGGACTGTCGTGGCGTATTGTCATGTAGATCTTCAGGTCATCTGCAAATATTTTATACTGACAGAGGAGGTTACTTGCGACATGGTTGACGAAAATAAGAAAAAGAATTGGTCCGAGGACAGAACCCTGGGGTACGCCACTCGAGACGTTGCGCTGGCTGCTTGTCTTTCCCTTTACCTGGACTGACATGCGGCGACCAACAAGAAAGTCCTCGATCCAGCGGATGAGGGGGGTGTTGATCCCTAGCAAATGTAACTTGGTGAGCAGAATAGGGTGAGATACTACGTCGAAGGCCTTGGAGAAGTCAAACATGATGACGTCAACGGTGTCGCCCCTGTCAAGGTGTCTGGAAACGTCATCGTAAACCAGCAGTAGTTGGTCCATGGTTGAGCGACCTGCACGAAACCCGAATTGGTGGTCAGACAAGATATTGTTGCTCTCGAGGTAGTCTGTCAGGTGACGGGCAATTATTCGCTCTAGACACTTGCATGTTACTGAGGTCAGGCTAATAGGGCGATAATTAAGGGCTTGGTACCTTGAGCCTTTTTTGAAAATTGGCACAACTACCGACGATTTCCACTGGACAGGCAAGCGGCCTTCCCTCAGCGACTGGCGGAAGAGGAGTAATAATGGGTAAGTTAAAGCTGAGGCACACCTTTTTAGTAGGCAGGGGTGGATGTCGTCCGCTCCCGCCGCAGAGAAAGCATCCAGGCACTGCAGGGAGGAGAGCACGTCCTGGGCACTGACGTAGAGTGGAGGCATCTGGCTGGATACAGACTGGTGATCAGTTGGGCCGCGACGAGGGGAAGGGCTGTGCAGGGCGGGTGTGAAAACACTGGCAAATGCAGTGGCGAAAGCTTCAGCCATCAACTCTGGGTCGTCTGAGAGACTCCCGTCAGGTAACTGTAGCGGGCCGACTCCGGGACAACCAACTTTCTTCCTGCGAAGGTAAGCATGAAAACGTTTGGGCTGTGTCTTAAGATCATTAAGTAGTTCAAGCTCGTAGTTGACTTGAGACTCAGTAGCAAATGATCTTAGCTGCTTGTTTGCCTTGAAAAAGTCTCTCAAGGCTACCTCTGCTGCGACAGAGCTTTTGCCAAGGCGGTGGCGGACAGACTTATACTTTGCCCAAGCTTCCTTTTTACTGTTCCTTAACCTGTGAGGAGGGTTAGTTTTCCATGGCAGCCTGTTTGAGATCTGCTGTGGGGCAAGGGGAACACATTCCTCAACAAGGGGCATCAGGACATTCACGAAACGGGTATACGCGCCACCGATGTCAAGCGCTGTAAACTCTGCATCCCAGTCAACCTCGTATAAGGCACGCGATAGGATGTTGTATTTGCCTTTCTGCCACTTCCGGTACTTAGCAGGGGCGATCTGCGAAGGAGACGTCTCAAGGTCAAACACATAAGTGCATAGTATCGGGCAGTGGTCGCACCCGGGTAAGGGAGGGAGTACCTGAACAGATCCAACTCTGTCTGCATCTGTGGACAGGACAAGATCCAGTATATTGCCCGAACGTGGGAAAGTGGGCTCGATCACCCACTGGGTAAGCCCCAGAGACATGAATACTTCGTAGCCTTGCCTGTCAAAAGAGGAAGCGTGAGATATCGGACAAGAACTCTCCCAGGACAGCGTAGGTAAGTTGAAGTCCCCCAGAAGAAGGACTTCCCTGTCACCACAGAAGGCCAGCAGAAAGTCATATATGTGTGCTGTGTCCTCCAAGGAGGAGGATGGTGGCCGATATACCGCTGCAACATGCAGGTTAAAGTCAGGAAGGCGGACCGCTAGCACATTCTGATATGGCTTATTTACTTCATCAAACTTCACTGAGCTGTGGATGTAGAGGCACACGCCATGTTTGGGGCCAAGGATTCAATTTATAGCAATTGGGTCAACTTTTCAGATGAAACTGTAGTACTAAGTAAAAAATGAACATGTAGAGCTATTTTGTGGCTATTTTATGACCTCAAGTCAGAAGTATATTCTCATTACAGATTAGTTAGTGGGAAGAATGACCTTTGCTTAGAGCTTCTTTAATAACAAAGGCAAACAAAATTGTGTGAAGCTGCAATGCAGACAGGCCATTGTATTTTGCATTCCTTGGTTTTGTGTGTTACTTGTAGTGGTCTAGGACCTAGGTTCTAGGTCATAGCACAAAATAGCGAACACCTAAGATTGGAGCTTCTCAAGCAAGAGTGAATGTTTCAATTTACCTAGGTATCATAAGAGCAAGTTTGAGAACATGTCACCAGGCTAGAACAGCTGTAAATGGCAATAATCCTCGGCAGGTGTTTTCACTGACTTGACTGCAAGATACCAGCTTGAGTACAATTTCTACACACCAAATATCGGGCCACTAACCTTAATTGCATGCAGATCAGTTCCGCAGATGCCTGAGAATGCAACTTTAACCAACACATCGTCCTCCCTGACAATCTTTGGTATGGGTATCTCCCTCAGCGTCAGGGTCTTGGTCGGTCGGTTGTACTGCAGGGCTTTCATGGTGCTCATCTTGATTGGTCAGGTGTAGCAATCACACTCCAATTTGCACTGGTCCCAGCACACAGAATGCAACTCAACACGCTCAGCAGAGGATCACAACCCAACAGCACGCCCCCACCGCCAGGCACTGACCACACTCGCGACCCCTGCCGCCGCTCGCAGGCTTTTAAACTGGATAGCAACGTGCCCTCTGCGCGACCTTGCCGGCGCAGTACCATGCAAGGGAATTCCTCGGGCTCCTTCACCGACAACGCGCAACACCTTGGTATGACGCAACAACCAAGTACTCATTTTATCAATTCCACCAAGGATGTTACGGAAAAATAATAATAAAAGATATAAAATCCACTGATAAAAACCGCCCACCGCCAAGAGCATCAACGTCGATTACAAAAGTAAACAAATCCCACAAAACATGCGATAATGACGCACTATAATTTTGTTTACAATTTCATATGGTAGCTCTGACGTCAGAGTACAGTAGAGGAAAACATATGAAATGAAGGGAATGCTTCGATGCCATCTCGTCGTTGAGTAAAGTAATCTTGATCTCGTCGATCTCGTCCTCTTGAAAGTGCGGGTCTTTGAATGCCTACTTTTCGAAAGAAGCCAATTCGCCATTGGGTAGCGCCCTCGATTTCACCCTAGACTGGACCCGCATCTATGCATTCCTCCTGCGTTCGACGTCTTTGATAGCCGGCAGCAATAACATGCGCGGCCTATAATAACATCCTCTTAGCTAATACGTCGGGATACACTTTCAACTTCTTACTGTTCTTCTCTTTCCCCTAAGAGCTCGAGGAGCGGTCACGGCATCCGTAAACGGTAGAACTTCCAATGACCCGAGAAACCGAGGATGCAAAACATAACCGTCCGTGAACGACAATGCCATGCAGGCGCGCACACTGTAGCGATTTTACCATGGAAAGTCGTTGCTAAGTAACAGCTTATCGAGGAAGTTCCGACTCGTCACCGATGACGTAACGGTCGTGGCGCGAGCGGCGGGCCCCGGTGACCGTCGACATCCCCGCTCCTCCCCGTATCTGAGCGCCGTTCCGGGGACATTAGATAGAGCTGACTGCTTTCGCACACCCGGGTCGTTCTTGCATTGGATGGGACACCAAAAGTAGCACCGTCGCAAATTGATCACCGAGGATCACCGAGGAAAGCCCGGAAATGTACACGGCCTGGCATATAGTAAGGTTATAGCTAGCATATGCTAAATCACACAACGTTTGAAGGTAGATAATTTTCCAACTACACACCGGACCTACATACACGGCTGCGTTTATTGTTGTCTTGGCAGGGTAGCGTCAAACAAAGGCATCCAACGAAGGCTTGCAGGAGGTCGGCTACACTTTCATATCACAAAAATGAGTCGGTCATGCAGGAAAAACGATACATAGTGACGTATGAGATAAATCGACTAGCAATAAGCTAGTCTTAACAATCCGCCAAGACAGCGTTGTCATGATAAATTTGCCGTCGCCTTCGCATCCAATTTGATTGCTACACAATCTCGGTTACCTTTCAGCCAAGTTCCTAGATCCCACAATACGTAAAATATCTGTCAATCAGGTAATAAAGTGAATACAAAATAGAAATATAGCATCAACCATTACAAATGACAGAACACATGCAAAATAACCACTGAGAGGCATCATTGTGGGTGGAAAAAGGTAACAGAAACCCCGCCCACCAACAATCTACGCTACAAGGCACCGAGCTACCTCAGTTATGCGCGGTGAACCAACACCGCCAGACGACACGTGCCGAGACGCCCACCACCCAGTACCGGCCCGCCGGTACCCACAGCCGGCGCAGCTACCACGGGCAGCCTTCCGAACTCCACTGACAGAACACAGGCAGAGGCACACGGCGCCCAGCCGCCGCGTTATTTGTCAAGTCGAGGGCCCACCTATCACGGTCGGACGGAAGACTGCGGCTCCTATATCCCCGCCCCTGAGTACCCCGTACGGCGGCCAGGCCGCTCCCTATGAGGTATTGTAGACACCGCGCGGCGGCCGGCCGTCACTCGGTAGTCAGCTGCCAGTCATAGAGAGCAGCCCCGGTGACGCCGCTGGCCGCTGACGTCACCAGGTGCACCTCTGCACCACCGTAATCCTGCACGGTCAGCGCCGTGCCGCCGGCAGCGCCATCGTGCGGCGCCGACTCGAAGTGCGACTGTGCGCCGCCGCCGCCAGAGGCGCTGTCTGTGGTCCCGGTCTGCACTGAGAACACGGTGTGCGGGTGGTGGAGGTCCAGCGGCTGGGCCTGCAGGTTCAGCGGCTGTACGCAGCTGATGGGGAGGCAGAGCTGCAGCGGGGCACCACCGGCGTCGGCCGGCCCGCCGGCGCGCGGCGCCGTCTGGAACACCAGCTGCTCGACGGCCAGGTTCATGAGGTCGGGCGGCGCTGGCTGTTCGGCCAGCTGCAGGTGGTGTACCACCACCGGCGCCGCGGAGACGGCCGGGCTCACGGCCGGACCGGGCCCGGGGAGGACGTCCGTCTGGGCGGCCGAGACGGGCGGCAGGGGAGGCGCAGAGACCGCCGGCGCCGGCGCCGACAGCCGCTCCCTCTGCCGGGCGGGGAACGGGAGAGTCAGAGGACAAATAGACAACCACTGACAGCCGCTCCCTCTGCCGGACGGGGAGCGGGAGCGTCACAGGAAATATACAAACAGCTTCTATGTCGGACGGGGAACGGGACGTCACAGGACATATAAGACAACCACGACCGCAAACTACGGACAGAAGCGCAGAATAGATTGGTCTGCAGAATATACCGCCAGTTATACAACGTCAGTTAAAGGACTTCACACTCATATGTGCAGATATGTGTGCAAGAAGCAAAATAGTACACAGATCACTGAAGTTGTAGACCTTTCCCCATATACGCTAAGTTGAAAAGGCCATGATCCTGTGGGTTTCAAGGTCCCGAACTTCTTGGAACACCAGCTATTAGCTCCTTCCCTCTCCCCCAATCCCACTGCACCCGGTCAGTCCGTACACTGCTCACCTTCAGTGTCCTCGCGGCGGCGCGGCGGGCCACCGACGCTGCCGACCGGCTGACGGGCGATCCGGCGGCGGCAGCAGAACCGGAGGAGCCCGCCGCCGCCTCCCGCCGGCCGCCCTTCTGCTGAGACACCCGCAGCGCGCCCAAATTGGCGAAGCGGAACTCGTTGTGATAGATGGTGCTGTACAGCCATATTTTCACTTCGGTCTGGTAGCCCTGACGAAGCTTGTCTGCGAGAAGCAGAGCAGAATTATGGTTGTTAATTTGTGGTGGCCAGTCATTGCTCAAGTAAGATTAGATGGAAACCGATTACCAACTACAATAAACATAGATGCATTCCATGCAAAATGTCCATCCCCTTCATAACCACGGCGTTTCGTGAGGAAAAACACACGAATTTGACACTAAGCATGGGGACACGTCCTGACAAACTTTGCACTTTGTACGGAATGCTGACCAACCGGATCAGCTACACTCGGCAGGTCTTTTTTACTTTCTTAATGGCGTAGCCAGGTGAAGCTTGAAATCACATACGTCGCACACCAAACTGATAAAAACTTCTACTGAACGACCTATGTCATATCGGAGTACGCGACCAACCAGACGATAGGACGTCGAACTCACCCGGGGAGCCAGGTGACGACTCGAACGCCATCGGCTCGAACCGCTTCAGGTAGTCTTTGTGCATCTTGGAGAGGTTCAGGTCCAGCCCGAACACCTTATCCTCCTTCAGAAAGGTGCGCAGCTCCGTCGACTGCAGCACCTCCGAGATGTGCCGACGCACCTGGTCTGCGGACGACGGGCGGTAGTGGTGAGGGGACAGGATGGTTGTAGTGAGGAGACACGTCTGGGTGGTCCACGGGGAGGACACGGGGAGGGGGATGGTGGCGGTGGGAAAGGCACCACTAGGCACTAGAGAACATAAATAAAGAAAATACAAATAGAGCAATGATGAAGTCACTTGAGTGCAAAACTAGTTTTCTTATCAAGCATGAATCAACATTCAGTTGACAAAGAGGTATGCTAATGTAACCTTTGTCGATATGAGGCTGCAACTTAAAGGGACGAGTCATTACCGGAGTATTGCAAATAAGATAATCGGCATATAACAATACCGATAGGACCTCCAAGATACTTATTGCCAAGCTGCCCGAACATATTACCTTTCACTTCTTCGGAGATCTTCCGTCGGTTCATGTGCTTGCCTCGCTGGTCCCGCGGGAACATGATGTTCTGGTCCAGCTTCTGGGAGAGCATGCGGATCTTTTTGAACGTGATGGCGTGGATGTTGGCGAAGGCCTGCTTGCACACCTGCCGGTGCCGGAGGAGACTCGTGTCATGCAGTCGTAGACGGTAATAACCGCGTGCCGAAGGTGCGAATAACGAAGATTAAAGTAAGTGTCATGTCAAAATGATGTTTCTTTTCGCGGACCACGAAGCACTAGGAGTTTAATAAATCTCACCCTACCAATCAATGAATAAGATACCGATGACTATTCGGAACTTGCGTCACTTCCTTCGCACGGATCATCGGCAGTTGCAGGGTATATTGGGCAGTTGAATAACCGTACCGGGCGTATAATTCTTGCAGCACATTAACCCGCGCCCGGTGGGCCTCTCAGCCAACTTCGCTATGGTGGGGGCCTTTTTGGCCACACCATATTATCTCGGAAAGTAAGCAAGCTAGAAAGACGCGGTAAACAGCAATAGATAGTTTGCTATAAGATGTTTCAGAATTATAAGGGTCATTTTTCAATCATGTCATCGCTAAAGTCTCTGGAGGTCACCAAAAGTAAAATTATCGCGACTTTTTGTTCCCGATTTTGACAACTTTTCACAAAGCGGCGCATAAGTCGGGAACCAATAGAGCTACAGCGCCGCAGAAAAGCGCATTCGATAGCTCTTTCAAAGGCCTTTCTGGGGTGTTGTTTCGGATTTGACCTAAGGTCAACGGTTTAGCCTCCAGAGGGCAAAAACTCAAAGTTAGACGTTTTTGCGGATTTTTTTTTTCAGTATTAACTTTTGACTCCAAGCTTTTATTACACTGAATTTACCGGCATCGCGTTTGTCTCGTCGAGACGCTTCAAATGAACTATAATTTGACCTGGAAAGGTCAACATAAAAAAGTTGACCTCAGGTCAAGGTCACGGAAAAGGTCATGTTGCATATCAGTCGATTCGTATTGTTGAGCTGAACAGATGCATGGTATTTCCCGCGCTCTAGCATGTTTTTATCTAAGGTTATTGTAAAAAAAAAAAACTGTTAGTTACATTGCATGACCTGAGATGACATAAGGGGCATGAAAGAGGTCACAAGTGCAATTTTGTTACTCAGTGTGTCATATTCACATGAGTTCCAATGTTTGAGGGTGTTTTCGGCCAAAAGAAGAGTATTTCAATTTTCTCCCTTTGACATTTATAATGGAGAGGAGAGGTCACAAAAATGACCTGACATGACCTGAACTTAGGTCACCGATACGAAAATTCCGAGATATACAAAGTGTTAGTACTGATTTCCTCACCCAATAGCCTGAGTTTCAAAACTTCTGGGATGTAAGCTGTAGGAATGAATGAATCCCAAAGTTGTTTAGAGGCATGGTCACTTAACTTGACCTGGTGACCTAAACTTATGTGACCCAGGGTCATAAATCTTACACACGATGCGAAATTGATGTTTTATAAGCTATACCAAGTTTCACGCAAAAAAAAACTGTCAGGTGTGGCCAAAAACGCCCCCCCCCCCCCCACACACACACACACACTCGAAGGTTAAGTACCGGCACCAACTGACCTGGATCTCCCGGCCCTTGCAGCGCACAAAGTACTGATAGTTGCAGGTGCGCCGCTCGGAACTGGCGGCCGAGTGGTGGGCGATTTCAGTCTTCCTGATCAGGCCGAACAGGTAAGCATTCTGTTCGTCGTAGCTCTTCAAGTCGTAGAAGCCGCTGAAGATGCTCCTCCGCGTGTTCTCATCCACCTGGTCAGAGCAGAAAAACGTGAGGTCCAAATCAATTATAATGAAGGGACTTCACTAAGCCCATCTAATCAGTATTCAGCGCCCATGAATTTCAAAACATAGAAAAAAATGGCCAAGAAAGATAAAATTGCCTACTAAATGATCAGACATGATTGAGTTTTATTCACGATCGATGGCAACACAAGTCACTTTTTGTTCTTTTTGGTTTTAGGAATTTGACTTGTGTTGCCATCGATCGTGAATAAAACTCAAAATTGCCTACGTTTATGAGCAGCTCTGAATGCACCGTACCTACGTCGGCTTTCAGTCTACGTCAAAAACAATGATTCACATTTTCTAAAATGAATTTGGTGGCTTGAACCTTCGACTGGAGAGCTTAACAGCTGGATAATCCATTTCGTCGAGCATTTCCGCAGGGTCCGACCACTACGGTCCGATCGGGCAAATCCGGAAAACGCTAGGATTTTGATGCAGAGTTTAGCGTGCCGATGAAAGCCAAACACAGTCCATCCCACCCACTGTAAAATGGCTGCAGCTTCCGGTAAAATATCAGCCCTTGTCAGAAGTCTAACCTATTGAACATCGGAGCGACTAGAGCCCGACGGTCGGGAGTCCGATGCCCTGCCAACCGAGCTACGAAACAGACGAAACAATTGATTTATGTGGTAACAGTAACTGTCACTCTGACTGATAATCAGGTGCTTACCCTATTATAGCACTTCATTCGGCACGTGCAGGCGGCTCCGATCTGTTTTGACTTGACCACCTGGCCCTTGGTGTTGACGTATTCCTGGCCGGCGATGCGACGGTTCTTGCGCACCACTCGTTTCCACTGGTCTGGCCGCTTCTCGCGGCCCCTCGCGCGCAGCAGGGACGTCCCGAGCTGATCGGTGGGCGGCGCAGCGGAGGTGGCCGCCGGCAGCTCCACTGTCCTCTCCATGCTCACCGAGTGCCACCAGAGGGTCCACTGAGGCTCGGCCAAGGGACAACGCACATCCACTCAGAGGCAGTGGACGAGTAACCGTAGGAGAAAGAAAAACCTGAAACAGATCAGAGCCACAGTGATACTTGGGACATTAGCCCTTAAAAATTGAAATAGAGCTTGGGCAAGCAGAATACCACAGAAATTAAGGCCACTCAGCGACAAGAAACTGGTGTGTTTCACAATCACCACACATTATGCCCCATGGGTGCTTAGAAATGCTGAATGGGAATGGCAGAGAGAAGCTCGGATCAGACGTGTGTGCTGGTAGAGCAAGTAAACTGGAACTTGTTTCCAACTTTAGGGCTTTTTCATAATACCTGGCCTCCAGTTTAATTCTGCATCCAGCCTGATATAGGGGTCACCTCTAAAACATAGGTGGCTGGTAAACAAGGTTTAATTCCTCACTTTGAAAACATGGTTTCAGCTTCACAGATGACAGAACAGCACACACTAGATGTATGTAGTTCTAGTTTAAGAGTGTCAAGGAAAAGAAGCAATTGCTATCATGGATGTCGACTTCCGGCGAGTTGGGGTGCCCAAGCTCTCCAAATTCCATGCCAGTTCGGCCGGCTTGGCTTTAGAGCCGCAACAGACAAGGTCAACAGGACAAGGTCACCAGTACCACTAGGGCGGCGGCGGATTTGCTGTGCCCAAGCACCCCCAACTCTGTGAAAATTGACACCCATGGGCCATGATTGCTAGGTATGTTACCAGGTGAGTTGAGTTTTGATTGCCCAAGAAGTTTGTTTGAGCAGCAAATATCAAGTTCTGTGGTAGGTACCTAGTGAAACAGTAAATAGGTAGGTACTAACTACTAGGCCACAGGTCCAGGCTCCCTAACCCAACAAGTACAAGTATCAATGCACAGGGGGCTGTTCATGGGCTCTGTGTGCGGTCGGACCATACACAGCCTCCAAGCTCCACCCACTAGTCCAGTCCCTACATCAGCCTTCCGTCACCGCACACAGCAACCACTGTAGCTGGTCGGGACTGGGCAGTTGGGCACAGGCCACAGCGGACCATCCACGTCACGCAGCCGTGACGTCAGCACTGCCTACCCATCCCCTACCCCCACGCCTGCTGCACACACCGCACACACCACACTCCGCAGCTTGTGGTGCCCGTGAACACCCCTCAGGTCAAATAATGATAATGATCAAGGCTGATTGATCCAGACTTTGGAATTTCAGCAAAATAGGACTAAATATACTGAATGAATAGCTATTTAATGACGATTTATCATTGCATTATATAGGTTACTAGTTTCTTTACCCTTTTCACTAGATGAAATTAAAAAATCACAGTGAAAAATATAGCAAATTCTCAACCAATTACCAAAAACCCACCACTCGTTGCTGTGTGTGATTTGCTTGTGAGACTTTTTATTAATGAAGTAAAATTCTCTAATTTATCTCTAAATACTGACGATACTGACTTAAATCTCGCTAGCTCAAATCTGAAATATTTTCCTTAAAATATGCAAAGTTTAAAGGAATCTTGCAAAATTTATCTCCTACATATATTGATGCAATCGAAGAAAACACATGTGGCCGGTGTAGTGCCAGCAAAGGCAAGCAAAACAGCATATTTACGTCTGGACAACGAGTTGCGGGGAAAAGTGGAAACTTTGTCGCAGTTTTAGGAGCCGGTGATTAGGCTGCATTTTTGGGTTACTTTTTCGTTCCGATTCATGTATTTCATAGTGTTTGGCTTTTGAATATTTTAGTTTTTTCAGATAAATATTACTTGCCCTACAACTTTTGTAAAAACGTTTCATTTTTTATAAGCCGACCGTCAAGAGTCCTAAAAATACATCAGCACTACAATCATTGTAAACAAACAAATGGAGCACCGCTTGGCTCTGTTCCAAGGCCCTTTTCAAGTTTATCTGGTGGTTTCCGTACTCTTGTACGTCGTTTTGTTGGATGTTTTGAATCCCTTAACATTGACGTATATCATATTTAAGAAGCATGTTGACTGAAAACAATCCCAAGTATCAAGGAGGCTGACCGAGGTCCTGACCCTGAGCAATAACAATATCAAGTTGAACTTGGAAGTTATGAAATATTGGTTGATAAACACAAGTTGATCGGGCTCACATATCAGCAAGAAAAAGTAAAATTAAAAGAGCTCATCATTATTGGTCGAAAACAAGCTATAATTTTGCAGGAGATCTTGGATCAATACTGAAGAGCACGCTGAGCAGTATCATGCCAGAAAATGCTGACTGATGAGTGCATATTATTGAATGATAACTTATAACAAGATAAGTTAGTGCTAACTATCAAGTGAAAAATCTAGAATGAATGGACTCGGGCAGCTTTACTATGATTAGATGCTATGCAGACGGTAATGTGCATCAGGTACTAAAGTGTCTGGCAAATGAAACATGCGATCATTCCATTGCTACTGGAGGAGAAAGCTTGGATCACTAAATCCACTTTATGTTGATTTTGATGTTAATCATTACTGTATTTCTTGAAAAAAGGATTGTAGTAAAATTGTCAATGTGACAATCCATGCAACAATGTTATCATATGTGTTCATTAGTCATTTGTGATAGTGATTGTTGGTTCAATATACAATGGCAAAGCTCTCAGCGTTTTTTACTTCTGTGGATGGCCAGCAGTGACTCAGAACTTAGAAGTATTAGTTTTCTTCACAGGGCTGGGATAAAAAGTACTGAGGGTAATCTTCCACCAAGGAACTTTACTTTGACATGGTATGAGATGCAGGCACAAGTAGGTATGTGCTTCGTTCATATAGTCAGTAATTGTGTAGGTTTAGTTGGGTTAGCTTATATTAGGTTTTAATTTGCCCCAAGTGTCCATAGAAAGGTGACCTGAACAGTGCGCATACCTGACTAACCCGACAGCTGACCTAACCTCATTTATCACACATATTTGCAACCTAACCAAGACCTGCATAGCAGTAGCACCCAGTTATAGGTAGGTTATCACCCTAACTCAATCTTACCTGCTAACCTTCAACTTGCCAACAGTTAGCTCACCTTGCCAAGCTGCATCCAGGGAAACAGTCAACTGAGGAACTGGCTCATTGGGTGGTTGGTGTGAGTCTGTGCATTTAAAGTGTTTCCTCTCTGAAGCTGCTCTGCACTGCTGTATGTCATGTTAGATGCTCAGAAAAATGTGGGAAATGATAACTAAGCTAGGTACTTTAGTGCTTTGTTAATGCTTGAGAGATGAACATTGAACAAGTACAAATCCTGTGGGACACAGCTATGAGCTAGGTGCTAGGTGAGTATGTTATGTGAATGTGCTGGTTCCCTGTTTGACTGTAGTAAGTATACAAACAAGCACAGGGTCACAGTTATATTCAATCTCCACATAAACACAACAAAAACGGCCACTCCTCATTCCGAAGTCCAAACACACCACAAATAACTTAAGCCTTTACAGGCACAAAAATGCTTTGATTTACAGGACAGGTATACAACATATCCTCTGTCCTTGGGGATCTTGCTGACAAGTTGAGGTACAATGACTGAACTTCAGGATTGATCAACCTTTTCTTCTTAGCCACTGCTTTTATACGAGAAAGACATAATGCTTAAATGCATTGAAAATTTAATGATCCACCTTCAATTCTGGCATGAAGGCACAAATAAAATAGTTCCCTCTCTGGCTCTTGGAATACACAAAGCAAAATATTCAATAACTTTTAGTGGATGGACAAGAGCAATTAGCATAGCTTTCGCCTTTCCCTCAAGTTAACTTCTGGCACTGATAATTACACTGACACCTCTGATCCAATTAAGAGAAACTTGGAATGTGTAAACCTGCCTATTCAATCATGCAACAGATGAACTTGAGGTCAACATGATACTTTGCTATAGGTAGGTATATACTCTAACTCTATACATCAACGTTACTCTGCAGTTTGGAACCTTTTTGCCTTATTCGTGCGCGCCCTAACTCTTCAACAACAACAGCTTTTTTTTATTTTAGTGGCCCTAACTCTTATTCGCTTCATATTTTGTAACAAACGCGCAAAAACTGCAATATAACAGCACTATATGCTTCTTGACAAAATGCAATAGAAGTAAAACTTAACCCTGATGGCATTCATTCTTAGCGGAAATGTAATTACAAAATATTTTGTAGTAACTATTGAATTTCGGCTGAAAACAGTGCACAGTTTAAAAAAGAATCATTCCCATGACGGTCCATTCTTGCCGTCCTGAAATCGCCACTATTTCCGGCCTCTCCAACGCAACTCGTTGTCCAGACGTAAATATGCAGCAAAACAAGCGAAACAAGAACATTTTAAGAACCTTTGAACCTTTTGAAGAATTTTCAGGAAGTCATCATAAATTGTTATTATTCACTATACCGAACAAACTTATTTTACTGACGAACAGGGTCATTTTTAGACTAGCTTCTAGGACATTTTTACGGGCTCGGAAAAGCGGAAAAATTTCCGGGTTGATTCCGAGAAACAGCCAAAAAATCAAAAGAGTAGAAGAAATCATCACCTACTACACTAATTGCAATTTTTATTTGTGTTCCAAATGCACCAGATAGGACAATATTCTAGTAGGAAAATGATTCATCTGGTATTTACCATTTTTCCTACTAAGTAGCGCGCCTTTTCTTGTGGAGAGTTCCGCCGCGTGGAATCTGTGAGTTGGGTGGTCGTGAATATTCGGGTGTATTTTGGCTGTATGTTTATTTTAATTCGCTCAAGCATATGTATATCTTGATGAGTATTCCCTCTCTGCATTCAGATGGATTGACTGGTCTGGTGTGCCGCCTCTGTGCGGGTGGTAGTTGAGCTGCGCTTTCGCCGCACGGCACCGTGGCCGTGCAAATTGTTGTCATAACTCATGTGATTATTTTCTAATACTTGAAATACCCCAAGTATGTGAGTGAATTGTAGGTAAAGAACTTATTCCAAGAAAATTTGTTGCACAGTATTGAGCTCATTATCATCAGCCTGTCATTGACTCATTATCCATGAGGGCGTCAAATTGCCCCATCCGCTGGCTTTTCGGCTGTTGCAGTGACCAAGAACTAGTTGCATGATGAGTCTAAAATTTGTTTTGGTTTCTCTGGCATCATTTTTTGAATCATGTGATGAAGTTTTCTATGACTTCTTTTTACAAATTTTTAGTTATAACAGATTTTGTGGTGTCATGACTGCGACTGATTTCAATCAAAAAGTGCCATTGTCTTAACATGTTAGCTTTCTACAAGGCAATTTGTTGAACATGTTTGTAAATAAAAAAACAGGTGGGTATCAATTATAACATTTTATAAAATGGCCACCTCAGATTTGAATTCAAGTAAGATTTTGAAGTGAAATTTTCCAAAAATTAAGCTTTTTTAAGAATAAAGATTATATTTCCATTTCAAAAATTTCAAAAATGGAATAGTTCAGATGCGGTGATGTCAGACCAATCACTGCCAAATTTCTCAAATCTCAAAATTTGACCCTTAAACCTAATATTTTATGTGTCAGTACTGTGTCCAATATTGTGTCCAGTGATTTCATTATTTTAAATGATATTGTTTTACCTATAACCATTGTCAAGAGAAAGCAGGGGCTTGGTGGGGTTCTTGGCATCAATGATCTGTACCTGTTAGACACTTTTTTTGTAGAAGTTGTGCAACTTTAAAACTTGGCCTTTTTTAACCTGACCTTGACCTTGAGAATTTCTTGTTATGGTTTCAACACCTCTGGAATAGCCCTATTGGCTTTTTTCAACCCAGCCTCATGTGTCTGCCATGTTTACTTTCGGAGATAACCGTATGTGGGGGTGGGGAGGCGGAAGGCATTAAAGCCCACCACTTCCAGTCACCCAGTCAAGTACGGATTAACCCTCGTCTGTAAAGGGGGTCGAACGGACCCCCCGTCGGTTTTTCGCGAATAGTTCGCGTAAAATGCGGCCGATCGCGACGAAACTTTCAGTACCCTCTAGTTGATCAATTTTACACCCACCCTGAAAATTTCATGACCCTGACCCAAATGACCTTTGGCCTGTGAGTTGACTTACTTTTCGAGACCATGTATGGCCGAAATCGCGATTCGGCGTATGTCGGCTCGCATTAGCCTCGCGTTTGCAGTCTTTTCGTGGTTGTTTCAAGCGTTCAATCATGTGATATGATGTTGCCTCCATGCATTAGGGTGGATGTCAAGGTCACCTGAAGGTCAGGTCAGGTCATTGACATTTGATGACATCGGTTCACTTTTTCGAGTTTTACATGTTTCTAGGCCAGTTTTTGGAGCTGAATTCGAATTTAGCAACCATATGAACATTTATGAAGTAGTTTTGGTGCATTCGAAACATGTTACAAAGCTGTCAGAGGCAGTTGACACCTACTACGATTACCAGGCAGGACCCCTACTGGTTGACCTGACCTGACCTGGCCTAAATGCATGAAGACATCATCTGTGATAAAAATAACATGATATTCGTGATCAGCACCCCGAAAAACCGCATAGTAACCACACTTTACGACGTTCTAACAGGTCCCGATTTTCCCGACTTTTGGGTCATTGACCTGACCTGGAAGGTCAACCAATGACCTAGGACCTTAAAATTGGGTATCATCGGCTTCCTCTCGTCACGGGCAACACGCTCGTTTTTTTTTCGCGAAGCTCTAGCTCGATCAGTGGCGAAACGGCAAGGGGGGTCCAACGGACCCCCCCCCCCCTCCCCTTATACGTCCGCGGCTGGAAAAACACCAATACGGGCGAGGGTTAAGAAACTCATGGCTAGGGAGGATGACAGTCTTATTCTGAGGGTGAAATTGAAATGTTAAACCTGTCCACATTTCTGGAGGTCAGGATGCATCACATAAGGGGCCTGTTTTAGGGCATTGATTGACACTACCTGAATCCTGATACCATCATTGGTGATTGATATACTATGAAAGGTGCTTGATTTCCATGGAACTGGGCAGAATGGCTCAATTTTGATTGTGTTACCATAGATACAGAGCATTAGGTGGAGTCACTGTGTTGAAACAGGGATCTAGCCACATCTGGCTGCTATTGTTTAAATTGAACCAGTTTTCATTGCAGGGATTTTGCAGGGCTAGGTTTGCTACCACTTGTTGGGATCAAGACCCTCTCTGTTTGTAGGTCAGCTGATGATATTTCTCATAATTAATGGTAAACTTGTCTTGCAAAATATCCACAGAAATTAAAAAAAAATCTTGTTTGTCCAAGGTCCTAAAAAGGAGGCTTGGAGCTCCCTTTATGCTTGCTTTACTTGAATTGTTTCCTAATGAAGCACACTATTCCTTCGCCAGCTCACTACTCACTAGTCAGACAGCAGCAGTGTCAACATGTCCAACCAGGAGGACCCTGAGAAGGCTCTGGAGACGATGGATGAGGGCAGCGGCGAGGCCGGGAACGTGACCGCCCAGCTGATGCGGAACCCGCAGGTGCTGGCCGCGCTGCAGGGCCGCCTGGACGGCATGGTCGGCTCCCCGTCCGGCTACATTGAGGTCAGTCAGATGGCGAGGATCGTGGGCTGAGGCGGAGAATCATCGTCATTTATTTACTATGCCCATCCACAAAACATGACTGTTCAGGACAAGTGTCCGTGTACAAAATTGAGATAAAGCATAATACACCTAACAGGTATAAAAGTGTACCATTAAGATTCAAATTAGAATGCTTACATGATTCCCGATTCACCAACTGTTCCTTCATGCTTCTGTCAACACCACTAGGCACTAGCCAGTAGCCGCAGCCTACAGTCTTGCTACAGTCATGCTCATGAGTTATGGTAGTTGACAATCAGTGCATGTAATGACTACCACTGGTTGCTGGATGAAATATGAGCAATATTTTATTTCACTTAACCTGTGTTATAGGTACTGGCCAAGAAGTTGACCTAAGTATCCGTCGTGACATTCGCGCCTCGCGGTTGTTATTATCGGCATTGGGCAAATCGTCTTCATTGTACTGCCTGTCACGGTAGTCGGTGATGAACCACCGCTGGCCGGCGCGCTCGCGACTTATGATGGGGCGCCAGGCAGTGATCTCATGGTGCACCAACCCTCAGTTGGTGCCAGCTGAGAGCGGACAATCAGAGGACGGGCTGCGGGGGCTAGATGACGAACTTTGTCATGATTCAACTGACGGGCAGTGGGGGAGGAGGGCGGTCTCGGTAAACCGACTGTCCAGTTCTTTCGTCCGTCGTGCTAATGGGTAGCGGTAGGAGCTGAATTCTGACGGCTATTGACAGATCTGACGGTTATATGACTGGCCGGTCCCAATGTCAGTTACCGTGTGTTATCTGTTAACGATCGTAGTCGGCTGACGTTAGCGTTAGCGCGGTCAGCTGACCGGTCATGGATGGGATCTGACTGACGGCTAGCTGACCAGCCGTTCTGATTTCTGAAACAGTCAGCTGCCCGGTCAGTGACCGGTGAGGCCATGACCGTGACCATGACCGGCGGTCATGTGTGGAAACCGGTTCACGGCCAGTGCGACTCTCTCCCTCCGTGACCGAGTGCGATAGGCAGGCAGTGGTTGGCAGCGATAGGCAGTCCCCACCCACGCCGGTCGTTACCACCGCCTTTGTGGTGGTCTGACCTCGCCGGCTTCCGGGAAGCTCTTGCCAGATTGGGGAATTTGTGGCGTTTGCAGAGAACCCCAGAGCTGTTTGCTTCTCTCTGTTTTCTGAGCGGGTTGTAATGGACAGCATGGAGTATGTGCCTCGTGCATATGATTACGGAGCGAGCGAAGCGAGCGGAGTCTTTCCTTAGATTAACGGAAATTTCTAGGTATGAGCGGCCGGCCGGCCGTGCGGACGCTTTTGCGAGGCTTATATCTCAGCAACCACTTGACCGATTTACATGCGGTAATTTTTGTAGGGTAGCTTCATTCCTTCTACCAAGTATTGGACTATTCCCGATGCATGTGGGTGACCCCTTATTCTCGTGCCACGTGCAAAACGAAGAGGTGCCAGTTTTGTAATTGTTGCATTATCTCGGTAACTACTTGGCCGATTGCGCTGAAAGTTGGCATGTAGATAGGCACCCACTAGGCACTGCATATCCATGTGCCAGAGTTGGGGTGCTGCTGCACGTGCGCACGTGCAGGGGTCGATTCCAGATCTCGAGAACGGCTGGACCGATTGCGCTCAAATTTGGTACGCGGTTAGGGACCGGTTAGTAGGGTGCCGTGCACAAGTCAGTCGGGACCCATTTTGCACGTGCGCACGTGCAGGGTGCCGCTTCCAGATCTCGAGAACGGCTGGGCCGATTGTGCCCAAATTTGGCACATCGCTAGAGACCGGTTAGTAGGGTGCCGTGCACAAGTCAGTGGGAGGTACCCCCTCTCAATTTCGCACGCGCAAGGCCCACCCTCTCGCTCGCTCCGTTAGTCGCCCCAAAAGGCGTTATACTGGTTATTATCAACCAGTATTTCTATGGTGACCTTATTACGGCGCAGTGGCGGTCGCCTTTGTTTTGATAGGGTTTGAGCGACGGTCGATCGCACTTGTGCGACGTTGTTATGTGTGTGGGCGGACCGGTCGGTCATCGGTGGAACCCCGCCGGTTTAGAGGGGCCGATGGGCGAGGAGCTGACGTGTCCAATCATGCCAACGTGCGACTTATATGGCAAATACGGTTTGCTTGGGCGGGAAGCTGGCAGGACTTCGAACTCTGGGAACTTCAGGCTACGGCACAAATGAATGCACGTCATCTGGATGACGACACCAGTCACTATGTCTAGATTTTTAGTTTGACGAGGAAAATTTCTTTTTAGAAGATGTCCTGCGTATTGATTAGCCTTGGAGTGAATGTTTTGCTAGCATTGAGTTGATTTTAAGCACTAATTTAATCGCGTCGATGTAACGAAAGTTTTTGCTATGTGAATCCTACTTCGCGAATGACTGTCGTAGTTAACGAGTAATATGGGAATGCCACTTATGGCTTACTTACTGGTTGTCACGCGTATTACACACACTCTCTTGTTCTTTGATCTGTAGTGTCTGCACCAGTCCACTGACATATACCCTCCCCGCCGCAGAGCCTGCCCAAGGTGGTAAAGCGGCGCATCAAAGCCCTGAAGAATCTCCAGCTGAAGGCCACAAATATTGAAGCCGCATTCTACGAGGAGGTGCACGCGCTAGAGTGCAAATACCACAAACTCTACGTGCCTCTCTATGAACAGGTGAGACTCGGAGCGCGGGCGAGCCCGGAAGTGCTGGGGGTGGCGGTTAGAGGGGTTCGTTGGTGAGAAAGTTGTTTTATAGGATTCCGCGGACACCTTGTAGATCGTTGAGTTGATGCTTATTGATGGACCTTATGGCATCTGGGATCAATTATGGCTTGTTTTGAGCAGTAACAATACTTCTTATATATCCTGTCTGATTATTACGCCGTTTATCGCTACGGGCGTCTGCTTTCTCTTTTCTTAGGCCCGATCCATTGGTCTGTTTCTTTGAGTGCATACTGCTTTGTGCAGAGCATTCAGCGCTGTTTCAAAGTCATGTCTCATCTCCTCTGGCGCTCCGTCGGACCGCCTGCCACGACCTCCCGCTCCCCGCTGTTCCCTCCATCTGTGTCTGACCGGTCCCGTCGCGTCGGCAGCGTAACACCATCATCGGCGGCGACTACGAGCCGACCGACGCAGAGTGTGAGTTTACACTGGATGACGAGATCAGCCAGGAGATGGAGGATAAGGCCAAGATCGGCGACGGAGACGCCAAGCTGCACGACATGGACGAAAACACAAAGGTAGGAGGAGCGGAGGGTGGAGGACTAGAGAGATCTTACAGATGGGGGAGGGTCAAAAAAGGGTTGGCCGGGACGTCTGGTGAAATGACTATGTTTTAGTCCAAAGTCACTGCAGTGTGCAATACAGTGCAGGACGACGTGCCCCCACACATTTGTTGGATTACATTTTACTGGACTGCATGAGCAATGAGCACCCTTGCTTCTTTTATCTGCGGACATGGTGATACCCGACTTCAATAGATACGTGTAAGCTGATGTGGAGATATATCCGTGTACTGACCCGGCCCGACCTCGTCCCTCGCCAGGGCATCCCTGAGTTCTGGCTGACGGTATGTAAGAACGTCGACCTGCTCTCGGAGATGATCCAGGAACACGACGAGCCCATCCTCAAACACCTGCGAGACATCAAAGTCAACTTCGCAGAGAGCCCCATGGTAAGTCGGCCGACGGTGACGTGCCTCCCGCTGGAGATGGTGTTTGTAAATGGTGCACGGTCTGTGGGCGATAGTGTTAAATAATGGCTCTTTTAACCGAAGATGGTGGTTGTATTTGTGGTTTTACACCTTTCGCAGGTGACTTAATTTATCACTAGCTGTCGGTGATGTTTGGCGTGGTAATTTACCATAATGTTTAGACCATAATATGGATGGATGCGAGTCAAATTAGTAGCACTGCTGTCACACAAAATGCCGCCTAGTCTTACGTCTCTGTTCTTCTCCTCCAGGGTTTCACGTTAGAGTTCCACTTTTCACCAAACGAGCACTTCACAAACACCGTCCTCACCAAGGAGTATTTCATGAAGTGCAAGCCGGACGAGCGGGAACCGTTCTCGTTCGAGGGACCCGAGATCTACAAATGCAAGGTTCGTGTCGGGGCATGATTGGGCGGCGGCCGATCCGCTAGCTGTCATTTTGGCCGCCATCAATTTCAGTGCTTTGACTTATGCTTCTATCATTCTGTATGGAATTGTTTTATTTTACCAGCGAAATTGTGTTAGCATGAATTAACAATGCCGCCGAATTTGCGCTCATTTTATTCGTAATTAATCTTAGGTGTTATACCGTGGTTTGACTTATTCATATCAGGGTGAATAAGTGTTTCCAAGTGTGCTGTGCCGTGAGCGGTCGTGTTCGCTGGACAATGGGTGACTGCCGCGGCTGATGGGTGACTTTAGTGTAGATTATGCTGCCGATCAGAAATTCAAGCTTTCGGGCTGCCGATGCTGAGTGTCTTATCAACGCCACCTTCTGTTTGTAGGGCTGCACAATAGATTGGCAGAAGGGCAAGAACATCACACTGAAGACCATCAAGAAGAAGCAGAAGCACAAGTCACGCGGCAGCACGCGCACAATCACCAAGACCGTACAGAACGACTCTTTCTTCAACTTCTTCAGTCCGCCCGCCGGTAGGACCCCGCCGATAAACGCCGTGACTGTCTCCGTCACGGAATAGGCATCAGGGATCGATGGAGGAAGAAAATGTTATATAGTGTCGTGACCCATGCTGACTGCTGTTATGGTGTAAATTAGCATTTGTAAAGCAGCATGGCCCGGAAGGGTGAGGGCAATCAAAGTTCTTAAATTCGCCATCGATATTTACTGTTGGATGCTGTTGGGTAAGGTGTTCTGTGAAATGTCGGGGTCTTTCGCTGCTGATAAATGCTGACCGTGAAGCAGTTACGCTGAAAATTACACCATAATTTCGCTTTTAGCGCTTAGCGTCTGTCGCCAGCCACCAGACACCAGGATCCGGCGAGAGTCTGTGCGTGCAAGTCCTTTCACAGTTTTCTGAACCCTCAGTCCCATAGACCATTCTGCACCAGCTTTGTGCGTGACCCAATAACCCCGTAAGTCGCCGCCCGGGACCCATTTGACCATCTGTCCTCCTCCCGACAGTGCCCGACGACCCGGACGCAGACGTGGACGAGGAAGTTCAGGCCCAGCTGACGGCCGACTTCGAGATCGGCCACTACATTCGGGAGCGGATCGTGCCGCGGGCCGTACTCTACTTCACCGGAGAGGCGCTGGAGGAGGACGACTATGACGACGAGGAGGAGGAGGAAGAGGACGGAGAGGAAGGCAGTGAGTCGGACAGAGGAACGGGAGAGAGCGGGACTGGGTTAGACTGGGCTTGGATGTCATCTTCTATCGGACTAAATTTACCCTTATTTTTAACCACTGTCAGCATGGGCGCAAAATGACCTTTGTAGCCGGCGTGCCCTAAATCCCCAATAATCAACCAGCTGCAATATCCAGTCATGATCTGATAAGTCGCATGATCATTGATCACAAACCATAGATCTCTGATCATATCAGGAAGCGTTTCGGGCACCTGCTCTGAGACTCGCGACGTTTACGTCACGCGCGATGGCCACAGTGCCCGGCCTTTACGGTGACGCCCTTTCCTCCATCCGCAGGTGACGACGACATGGACGACGAGGAGGACCCCGACTTCGACCCCAAGAAGGTCAAAGGACCCAAGGGCAAGGGCGGCGACCCACAGGAGTGCAAACAGCAATAGTCTGCACCGCCCGCCGCCCGTCCGCCTGTTCTCAGAGACATTCTCTCGTCGGCTGCTGCAGCCGCCGCTGTGACGCCGTCGCCGAGCGCGGCATGTTGATGTACTTTCTGCGATAGCTGCCACGCACGCTAGTGTCGGCCGATAATAATAAACTCTGTTCCGTGTACGTGCGTGTATTGACGCCGGCCGGGGAGGGGCGGTGGCACGACCGTGGTCCGCTCACGGAGCGGAGGGCGGTTCGGGACCACATCTGCTCCAGACTCCAGAGGGTCCGACACAGCCGGAAACACGGCTGATCCGTGCTGCCCGGTGTTCAGACGTGAAGCAGCTATAAATGTGACCGCCCTGGGCACTTCTCGTTCAGATACATGTTCGCCGCTTTGATAGTTTCTAACACAAGATCATTGTGCGGGTCGTCACTGACCAGCGTGAACCTCCCACATGATAGAGGATTCTCTCTAGTCTATGATAAGACTGTGAAAGCAGCTCACAGACTGAGAGCGAAAGCCCGAGTATGAAGCTCGGCACTGCGGCGTTGACTAGATGCTCGACCGTGCCGCAGACCGACATACGGCCGGTCCGCGCAGATATTCCTATAGTACGTGCCTCCAGGTGCCATAACGTGCTCATGTCTCAGTAGTCACCTGACTATAGTGCAGTGGCTGACACAGAACCTCCGCTAAGTTCACAAACACATCAATCGTCACAGACATTGCACATTGTCACAGTGAATAAATAACCCGGGCGGACTAGGCTACAGGATATCCTGCACAGACGGCAGACTAGAGTGACGCGAGCTCCGGCGGAGACAGTCGAGTTAGGGGTATCACAGCAGCGGGGCAGGTCCGGCGGCCGCCCCCGGGACTGGAGGGCAGGAGCAACGCGCCGGCGCCCGCTTCATCCTGATGAGATCACTGCGCGGCTGCCGCGGCCAGATCACACTCGCCTGAGAACGGGGGAAAATGGGCCGTTAGTGAGAAAGATCCAGACGTGCTGGACGTGAGTTGTGCAGCGAAATAACTGGCGCTTCAGTTGGTCGGGGCTGAGTTGGATCGATACGAAACAGCGCCAAACACTAACAGAGCTACATATCCCTGGATACTGAATGGGTCCACGCCACACAAATACAGCCGGCACTGTCACGATGATTTGATAACTGCATCGAACGTCAGAATATGATTAAATTAAAAACTGGTTCATATTTACTCCTTAACACGTCAGACATCGTACCAGCTGCCCGCAGCCCGGCGCTCACTCACTGTTTGACCACTTTGGGCGCGCTGACTGCGGCGCTCCTGGCCCTGGCGTGTCTGTGTTTGGCCGACTTGGGTCGGACGGAGACACCGGGGCCGTCTGATGCGTACGTCAGGTATACGTGCGACAGGTCCACCGCCGGCTGCAGGGGACAAACAAAAGGGCCGGTCAGATCATGCGACCAACACGAGGCGGACTCGCCAACAAGTTTGGGAAGGCGGTGGCTCTTGTACGACGTTGGGCGGTGGGGAGGTAGGGGCTTCAAGATATCCCGCAAAATGCACGGAGAGGTGGTGGCTAAACAGGAAGATTACTACACCGAAGTTTTAGCTGTTAAGAAAAGAAACATTAAACAGCATTTCATTTAAACTTGTGGTAAGGAGCTACAAATTTATGTGGGTACGTAAGTTCAGTCTCTTCCTCGAAATAGCAAGTAACACAGAATTCGGCAGAAGCGATGCGGCCGGCGATAACTCATTTTCAACTATTCAGGGCTAACAGTGACAGTGTCCTTTTCGGACCCAGCCACAGTAACAGTGCGCGAGGCTGACAGTTCCCCGTCAGCTGACTCAGCTCTGTTGCTGCGCGCGGCCGAGCGATCCCCACCTGCGCAGGCCGGTCCTGGTCTCCGGTGTCGCTGCTGCGGCGCATGTTGTTGCCCGTGTAAGCCACACAGCGCAGCTGCCACTCGCCAATCTCATCGTTCCACGTGGCGTACTGCTCCACCATGGCCTGGTACTCGGCGGGTATCACCTGTGCACGCGGTACAGGGTACATTGTCAGTACTTGTTGAGCATGCCGGCCTGGTAATCTGCGGGAATCCTGTACACGGCCTGGTAATCTGCGACTGTCACTGTCAGTACTGGTACGCCGTTGCCTGGCAAGTACTAGGCGGGAATCACTTGTAAACACGGGGTACACTGTCAGTGCCACAACATGGCCTGGTACCCGGCGGGAATCACAGTGAGTACACTTTACATCCCCTCGCGTCGCTTCGTGCCTTGACCTCAGTCTGTGAACACGCACAGTACTCTTAGATGGTCTAAATTCTAAAACCCTCGCCATCTATGTCTTAACCTGTAACACCCGGCCTTTGTTCTAACCTAGTAATTAACCATTATAGGCACTAACAGGCCAATTCTGCGTCGAGTGCTCCCTCCTTTACCCGCTGGTTACCCCGGCCTAGTGTGCCCCTGACCTGGTCGATGAGCAGCTGCTGCAGCCGCAGGTCCGACGTCAACTGCCGCACGTTCTCCAGCAGGCCCTCCTTCTCCCGCTGCTGCTCGGCCCGCAGGTCATCGAGCTCGCAGCGCGCCTCCAGCAGCATCTGCCACACCTTGCGCAACTTCTTGGTCTTCCCTACGGCCTCCTCCTGCAGACTACTGTAGCGCTCCTCAATGTCCAGACGCTCCGCCTGAGACGGACGGACGCCGCAGGGAGGAACGGAGGGGACGGCGTCATTGCAACATCACACTACGACAGACAGGAGCTAATACTGAATATCAAACAACCGACCTCCTTACTCAGTACAGATTAACCTCTCCCAAGCAAGAGCGATACGAGTCCTTGCCGAATCCCTTGTTGATGCCCTCTCTCGCCCGGCCTGTGTACGACCAACTCCCTTTACACCACCGTTCACCACCCTCCCCTTCCGGTGACCAGTCACCGACCTCCTTCATCTGCAGGGCCTGCTGGAGCTGCTGCTCCTTCTGCTGGCGCCGCTCCAGCTCGCGGGCCGACTCCTCCAGGAGCCGCTGCTGCTCCTCCGAGCGCTCCAGCAGGTTCACGCCGCCCACGATAATCTTCTTCTCCAGCAGCGCCAGCTTCTCGGCCAGCTGGTCGTGCGCCCGTCTGAGGTCGAGGGAGGAGGATCGCAGTGTTACACCTTGGTGGTCAAGAACAGCTGTAATACTCGGGACTCGCCCGCCTGAGGTGGGCGGAGGAGGATTACAGTATTAGACGGCCGTGAAAAGGAAAAGAAGCGTAACTCGCTTTTGACGATTTTTCAGGAGAGCGATTTTTCTGTTTTACCTTGTATTATCGACGGTTCTTAAACAATCAAAGAAAATTTGGTGTCAAACTGTTCGCAATACTGCACTGAACCTAACAGTGTTAATATTTTTTACGTGGCATATAAGATATTGCTAGAAAATGGTGTAAGGTGTTTTTGCTTTTCACTCGATGCTCAAATTGCAGCGAGGCATGTAGGGAAGAAAAGCGTAACTACATTCACTCCAGTCCGGCAACCGTATGTGCAGCGCGCGGCTCCATAGCGAAATGCAAAAGAAGCGTAACTACGTAGTTACGCTTCTTTTGCTTGCGAGATCTTATGGTATCGGCGAATATGCGGTGTTTCAAATACGCCAGGACGAAAACGTCTTTTGTCCATTTCGGATGCTTAGATGCCTTTCGAAATAGCTCACGACTTTTCATGCTAAGACTTCAGGCTTCATTCTTAGCAATCGCGGCCGTCAGGTCGCACCCTTCGGTGCTGGCAGGTCAGACAGGCTGGACGGCCGTGGGGTCGCCTATACCGGTGCTAGCAGGCCGGACGGCCGTGGGGTCGCCCCTGTCGGTGCTGGCAAGTAGGGCAGGTCGAGCGGCCGCCTCCTTCGGTGCTGGCAGGTCGGGCAAGCTGGGCGGCCGTATGGTCAGCTCTGCCGGTGCTGGCGGGTCGGGCGGCGGGGGGACTTTTGAATCGCATGTGACCGCGGTCATCCGCCGATGCTATGCCACACTAGGGGGACTGTCCAGATCCGCTCGCGGCCTGCCGCGAAACGTGAAGCAGATGATCGTGGAGATGTTAATTTTCCCCCACATCCGATACTGTATGTCTGTGTGGTCGGGATGTGGCGTCGTGCAGCGACACCGTATTCAGAAGGTGATAAACCACTGTGCACAGGTCGTAATGGGGGTCCGACGCTCGGCTCATGTGACGCCTCTGTTGGCAGAGCTATGCTGGCCCCATATAGACAGGCTGGTGGCGGAGAATGACTGCAGTACTGTGCATTACTTGTTGAATAATGTTCATGCACCGAAGTGCCTCTCTGAGCGGTTTGTAAAACGCAGCGACGTGTCGAGCAGACAGACTCGAGCCACTGAGAATATGCAGCTCGAACTGCCGAGGGTCCGCACCGAACATGCTCGCAAGTTCTTTTATTACCGCGCCTGTGACGTTTGGAACTCGCTGCCAGCAGACATTCGGTCGTCACGCACGTCGGCCACTTGTCGCAGGCGTTGTCGACTATTACTCAATGGTGACTAGTCACTGTGCGCGTAGCTTTCGGTCATTTGTACCGATATGCATTTTACTTTTTAAGTCCCATGCTTTTCATGGTTTTTACTTTTAGCTTAAGTGTTTATTTTAGCTTTATATATGTGCCTACCTATTTACTGTATGACACTTGGACTGAAAAGCCGTGAGTGCATGGAGCTTCCAAACGAAATAAATGATGATGATGATGGGGGGGGGTCGCCTCCGCCGGTGCTGCAAGGCCAAGTGGCCGTGGGGTCGCCTCCGCCGGTGCTGGCAGGTCAGGCTTCCTTGGGGTTGCCCCTGTCGGTGCTGGGAGGTCGGGCAGGCCGGGCGGCCACGTTGTCGGCTGTCGCCCATGTTGGTGCTGGAAGGTCGGGAAGCCTAGCGGCCTTTGGGTCGCCTCTTCTGGTTCTGGCAGGTAGGGCAAGCCGTGCGGTCGTGGGGGTCACCTCTGCCGGTGCTGGCGGGTCGGGTGGCCGTGGGGTCGCTTTGTTTCGTGCTGGCAGGCCGGGCGGCCATGTTTTCGTCCCTGTCAGTTCTGACAGTCCGCGCAGTCGCGGGGTTTCATCTGTCTGTGCTGGCAGGCCGAACAGGCCGGACGGCCTTAGGGTAGCCTCTGCTGTTGCTGGCAGGCCGGGAAGCAGTGGGGTCGCCTCTGCCGGTGCTGGCAGGCCGGGCAGCCGTGGGGTCGCCTCTGCCGGTGCTGGCAGGCCTGGCGACCTTGGGGTAGCCTCTGCCGTTGCTGGCAGGCCGAGCAGCCGTGGGGTCGCCTCTGCCGGTGCTGGCAGGTCGGGCAATTCGGGCGGCCGTGGGGTCGCCTCCGTCGGTGCTACAAGGCCAAGTGGCCGTGGGGGTCGCCTCCTTGGGTGCTGGCAGGTCAGGCTTCCTTGGGGTCGCCCCTGTCGGTGCTGGGAGGTCGGGCAGGCCGGGCGGCCACGTTGTCTGCTGTCGCCCATGTTGGTGCTGGGATGTCAGGAAGCCTGGCGGCCTTTGGGTCGCCTCTTCTGGTGCTGGCAGGTCGGGCGGCCGTGGGTCACCTCTACCGATGCTGGCGGGTCAGGCGGCCGTGGGGTCGTCTTTGCCGGTGCTGGCAGGCCGGGAGGGCGTGGGCTCAACTCTGCCGGTGCTGGCAGGTCGGGCGGCCGTGGGGTCGCCTCATTTCGTGCTGGCAGGCTGGGTGGCCACGTTTTCCCCTCTGTCAGTTCTGACAGTCCGAGCGGCCGCGGGGTTTCATCTGTCTGTGCTGGCAGGCCGGGCGGCCGTGGTGCCGTTGGGTCGCCTATGCCCAGGCCGAACAGGCCGGACGGCCTTGGGGTAGCCTCTGCTGTTGCTGGCAGGCCGGGCAGCCGTGGGGTCGCCTCTGCCGGTGCTGGCAGGCCGGGCAGCCGTGGGGTCGCCTCTGCCGGTGCTGGCAGGTCGGGCAGGCCGGGCGGCCACGTTGTCGCCTCTGCCGGTGCTGGCAGGCCTGGCGGCCTTGGGGTAGCCTCTGCCGTTGCTGGCAGGCCGGGCAGGCCGGGCAGCCGTGGGGTCGCCTCTGTCGGTGCTGGCAGGTCGGGCAATTCGGGCGGCCGTGGGGTCGCCTCCGCCGGTGCTACAAGGCCAAGTGGCCGTGGGGTCGCCTCCTTGGGTGCTGGGAAGTCGGGCAGGCCGGGCGGCCACGTTGTCGGCTGTCGCCCATGTTGGTGCTGGGAGGTCGGGAAGCATGGCGGCCTTTGGGTCGCCTCTTCTGGTGCTGGCAGGTCGTGCGGTCGTGGGGTCACCTCTGCCGATGCTGGCGGGTCAGGCGGCCGTGAGGTCGTCTTTGCCGGTGATGGCAGGCCGGGAGGGCGTGGGCTCAACTCTGCCGGTGCTGGCAGGTCGGGCGGCCGTGGGGTCGCCTCATTTCGTGCTGGCAGGCCGGGTGGCCACGTTTTCCCCTCTGTCAGTTCTGACAGTCCGAGCGGCCGCGGGGTTTCATCTGTCTGTGCTGGCAGGCCGGGCGGCCGTGGTGCCGTTGGGTCGCCTATGCCGGTGCTGGCAGTTCGGGCGGCCTTGGGGTCGCCCCTGTTGGTGCTGGGAGGTCGGGCAAGCCGGGCGGCCGTATGGTCAGCTCTGCCGGTGCTGGCGGGTCGGGCGGCCGTCGGGTCGCCTCCACCGGTTCTGGCAGGCCGGGCAGGCCGGGCGGCCACGTTGTCGCCTCTGCCGGTGCTGGCAGGCCTGGCGGCCTTGGGGTAGCCTCTGCCGTTGCTGGCAGGCCGGGCAGCCGTGGGGTCACCTCTGCCAGTGCTGCCAGGTCGGGCAAGCCGGGCGGCCGTGGGGTCACCTCTGCCGGTGCTGCAAGGCTAAGCGGCCGTGGGGTCGCTTTGTTTCGTGCTGGCAGGCCGGGCGGCCACGTTTGCGTCCCTGTCAGTTCTGACAGTCCGCGCAGTCGCGGGGTTTCATCTGTCTGTGCTGGCAGGCCGAACAGGCCGGACGGCCTTGGGGTAGCCTCTGCCGTTGCTGGCAGGCCGGGCAGGCCGGGCAGCCGTGGGGTCGCCTCTGCCGGTGCTGGCAGGTCGGGCAAGCCGGGCGGCCGTGGGGTCACCTCTGCCGGTGCTGCAAGGCCAAGCGGCCGTGGGGTCGCCTCCTTCGGTGCTGGCAGGTCAGGCTTCCTTGGGGTCGCCCCTCTCAGTTCTGGCAGTCCTGGTGGCCGCGGGATTTCATCTGTCGGTGCTGGCAGGCCGGACAGGTCGTGCGGCCGTGGGGTCGCCTCCTTCGACGCTGGCAGGTCAGGCTCCCTTGGGGTCGCCCCTGTCGGTGCTGGGAGGTCGGGCAGGCCGGGCGGCAACGTTGTCGACTGTCGCCCCCGTTGGTGCTGGGAGGTCGGGAAGCCTGGCGGCCTTTGTATCGCCTCTTCTGGTGCTGGCAGGTCGGGCAAGCCGGGCGGCCGTGGGGTCACCTCTGCCGATGCTGGCGGGTCAGGCGGCCGTGGGGTCGTCTTTGCCGGTGCTGGCAGGCCGGGCGGGCGTGGGGCCGTTGGGTCGCCTATGCCGGTGCTGGCAGGTCGGGTGGCCTTGGGGTCGCCCCTGTCGGTGCTGGCAGGTCAGGAGGCCTTGGGGTCTCGCCCCTGTCGGGGCTGGCAGACCGGGCAAGCCGGGCGGCCATATGGTCAGCTCTGCCGGTGCTGGCTGGCCGGGCGGCCATGTGGGGTTGGGTCGCCTCTCTTAATGCTGGGATGTCGAAATGCAAGTGGGAAGATCCCGCCCCTGATCGTACTATTTTACCAGAACTCGCTCGACTCTACTCCTGATTTCAAATTTTCCTTTAGCTGCACGTGGACTTTTGTTCCGTTTTTTTTTTCGCTTCAGTTCTAAACCTCTTCAGAGACCAAGTCTGCTCCTAAACCGCAATTTGCACACGCTTCTGATAATGTTCACAGCGAACATGCAACACAATAAATAAAGTAAACTATTGGATATCGCTCGTGTGGCCTTGGTCTAGGGTATGGCATGGCACCCCATACATATACCTACTATTTCAAGTTGGTGGTTTTGAACTTTGGTTGCTTTTATCTTACAGTTTTCCTCCATTCAAACGCCAGGATATCTACTAGAAGATATTGGTGAAACATAGAAAGGCGGCAAACGCAAGCAAGAAGGGCTTAATATATTTTTAATGCAAATTTTCCTGGCAAAATTAAACTTCTACCAAGTGTTATGCACTCACCTGAAAGACAAAAAAGCGCAAGTGCGTAAAAGTCAGCGCGGTGATAAGCAAGAAAAGCGCAACTACTTAGTTGCGCTTTTCTTGCCTATCACATCGTCCTGACCGCTGCAGGTACGCTTTTTTAATAGCTGCGTTTGTAGTTACGCTTTTTTTTGCTTGCGGTCAGGGAGGATGAAAAACATTTACGCTTTTTTCGAAAAAGAAAATTTGATATAACTCGAAAAATTATACGAATTTCGAAAAACGGTTTTGCAGAAAGATGGAGATTGCTATTCTCTATCTAATGGTATCAAAATCTCAAAATCGTAAAAATGCGAGTTACGCTTTTCTTGGTTGTCACGGCAGTAGAGTGTAGTGAAGAAAAGTTCTAAATTCTAATCCAGCCTACCGTGGTCCGAGATAGACTGCAGATTCGTAACGTACATGTAGCAATATCCAATATATACAATGCACCTCATCTCAAATGCAATCTGCTAGATTGCCTCACATCGGAACAGCGGACACTTCTTTCCCATTCGACCCCCCAAAGGTAGCCGAATGGGAAATGGACGTAGAAAATTATCCCCCTCTCCCTCTCGGTCCATCCCTCATCCTTCGCCACTCCTGCTCTATCCCTTCTTCCCGTCCGCCCCCTCGTCCACTCACTGCGCCTGCGCCAGCTCCTTCTCATGCTGTTCCACCTGCTGCTGGAGTCGGGTGCGCTCCGCCTCTGCCATGCCCTTCTCCTGCTGGAGCCGTCGCCGGTCGGCGTCCAGCTGGGCCTGCACCTCGGCCATCTGCTCCTCGGTGAGACGGCGCGGCCGGCCGGCGCCGCGCCGCCGTCCTCCCGGCGAGCCGCCGCCCTCCTCGGCGCCGACCTCGCCGCCCGACTCCTCGCCCGAGCCGCTGCCCGACTCACCCGGGCCGTCACCTGGGCGGGCAGAGGGACAAGGTCAGGGGTTACATGGCAGGGGTCAGACCAGCTGCCAGTGGGAACAAAATTATCAAGGGATCAAAGACAGCGCGTCGGACAGAATAATATCAACAGGCGATACCCCCGCGAGTTGGTCTCGTGAATGCCTAAATGCTAAGCATTATGATTTGGTAAGAAACGAATGCGGCAACCAGGTTTAAATTGGCCCTTAGTTTAGGTAACACTTTTTCGATCATCGTATCAGTTAAAATGTCACACGCAGCACTAAGCGATACCAACAGCAACAGGCTCTGCCTCAAATTCAGCATCACTCTTTCTCCGCTCCTGAGTAACATGAACGCTCTCGTTCAGCGCACCTTCCTCCTCGAGTCGCCTGCGCAGCTCCTCGATTTCCTTCTGGAACTGGCGCAGCAGCGCGTCCTTCGGGTCCTCGTTGATCTTGGCGCTGTTCTGAATACTCTTGGCTCGGTTGGCGTACCGCAGAGTACTCAGAGTCTCGTCGTAGTTGTAGTCGGCGGGACCAGCGTTGGCCACCTGATCATCAGTGAGAGAGTGATATCAGCAGCCGTGACGTCACGATCCATGAACGTACCGCGATCCAAGACTTGACGGTGAGACGAAGTGTAAACAGCACTCAATGAAGCACATATTGTTTCACCGAGCCTTTTAGTAAATTGATATATCGTCAGCATATATCGTCAACTGTTGGACCTTAAGCGTCGGACCTATCCACACCGTTTCCGACAGGAAGATCCTACATTGGTCCGATATGTGATTCCGCTTCCTCTAAATGGCTACCTAGTACCTACCCCTAACGAACAGGCATTTCTCTACCATCCGTGTCACTCACCATCACGGTCTTGCTGTTGCCGCCGAGCGAGTCCTGCAGCAGCCGCGTCAGCTTGGAGTTGCGGTACGGCACGTGGGTGCTCTTGCCGTCGATCAGCGCCGAGATGACGTTACCCAGCGTGGAGAGCGACAGGTTGATCTTGGTGGCCTCCTTCAGTCGCTGGCCCGTGGCGCCCGTCTTGGTTTGTCGCTCAGAGCCCTGCAGGGGGAGCAGGGGAGAGCAGAAAGAGTCAGAGGTGTGGTTTGTAAACCGACGAATCAGCTATGCTATGTCCGAAATACAAACAGAAAAAAAGAGGCGAATATTCATGAAGATTTCAAATATAACGCTTAAAACCGAAATTGTAAGAAATGGGAGAAAGAGAGCGAACAAGAAAGAAAAAGAGAAAGAGAGAAAGAAAAAGAGAAAGGGAGAGAGAGAGAGAGAGAGAGAGAGAGAGAGAGAGAGAGAGAGAGAGAGAGAGAGAGAGAGAGAGAGAGAGAGAGAGAGAGAGAGAGAGAAAGAGAGAGAGAGAGAGAGAGAGAGAGAGAGAGAGAGTGAGAGAAGAAAGAGAAGAGAGAGAGAGAGATATGGGAGAGAGAGAAAAAACAGACAGAGACAGAGACAGAGATAGTGACAGTGAGAGAGCCAGTGACAGATGGGAGACTGAGGAGCTGCCACCCACCGCCAGGTCGACCAGGTGCAGTTTGCCGACTCTCACGTGGTTCTGACCGTCCAGACCGCGCTCGCTCCGCTCAATGGTCGTGGTGAAGATAGCGTGCGAGCGCGAGCTGTGCTCGTTCATATTTGTGGCGCCCACCGATCCTGGGGGAAGGGATGGACCGACATCAGTCGGGGTAATGAGCTTAGTCGAGATCAACCAGAGTCAGTCAGGGTCAGTCGAGGTCAGTCGAGGTCCGCAGGAGTCCGTCGGATTCACAGGGTCAGCCATGTCAGTCAGGGTCTCCAGTTCATGTCGGTGTGTTGATAGTGATACTTGATTGCAATCACAAATAAACGGATCTGTAATACAAGTATGTGATCCAGATGAAGAGATGCTTTACTATGACCACAGCAAATGATCTCGCATTTACAATACCTAGTGTGAGGTCTGTCAGCACGCAAGTGGGCACTACAACGTAACATTTCCCAAACCTGCGCTGCTGTCCCACCAAGAACTTACTGTTTTTGTTTCCGAGCGTCATGATTTTGTCCATGTCGTCGGCGTTGTTGACCACGAAGGCGGAGAGGTCCTTGACGTAGACGCCGATGTCTGGTCGCTCCTTGACCTCGAGTCGCTGCGACTGCGACTTTCCCAGCAGGTCGCGCACCTCCTCGTTGTAAATCTCCAGGTAGGAGACGCGCACCAGGAACCTGGAATCAGGAGAGGCCCGTGTCAGCGGCTGTTCAGGGTTCGACGTTACTTGGGAAATGTGTACCGCTGAATGTGTACTGATCATTGAGCATTCCGGCCCTCGGTGAAAACTACAATAGTTATTACGGTCGAAATCTCCCGACCTTCCCCCTATTTCCCACACTCAAACTCACTTTGAGTCTCCGGCCGACTTGGCGATGTGTCCGAAAATGTGCGCGAAGGAGTTGGGTATGATGCCCTTTTTCTCGGCCACAGTCCTGACTCCCTCCATGGTGAAGGTCTTGCCGGTGCCCGTCTGGCCGTAGGCGAAGATGGTGCCGTTGTAGCCCTCCAGGACGTTCTCAACGATCGGCCGCGCCACCTGGTTGTAGATGTCAAACTGCCGGCGGAAACGATCCGTAGATTAGTTAGGCGGGGGGCGCTGGGATAGAGGGTTTAGATGACAAAAGTAAACCTCGTTCCTGCGCCAAGGTCATACCATTACTTGCCTACAACAAAAAGAGAGCCAGTTAACTAGCCTGTTAGGGTTTATCTCACCTGTTTGGAGTCGGGTCCAAAGGCCAGGTCGAAGGTGAACGTTTTGGGCGGCTCGGACGCTGCGGCGCTGGGGCTGCGCAGCGACACGGAGCCAGCCAGAGAGTTCACCTCCACGGCGCTGCGGTGGCCGGCCGCCAGCTCGGCGTCGTTCAGCGGCCGCACGCGCACCACCACACGCACGTTATCCTTGTCGGCCGGGTTGGCCATGGCCGGCGGCTCCGGTCCGGACCGCGCGGGGCCGGCACTCCGAACAGCGGGACCGGTGGTGGAGAGGTGAGCTGATTATCACAGTGCGCGGTACCAGAAATGTGCACCTCTTTTGTCCTGCAAATGCAAACCAAGTATAAAATGTCTGGCAACAGCCCCAGCATGCCAGCCTGGTGAATAGTCATCAAGTTTTTCACACTTATTACAACTGCCATAAGTTTTTCAAATTATTGTGATACAATGACTATGCTAGAGAAAAGTTCAAACCAAACTATGATGTATTGTTTTGATATTGCATGTTTGTTGGGGGTTAAGGGCGCGCCGACAGCGAGGTCATTTTGCGCTGTTTTGATATTGCATTTGCACCTATTATAATGGGTATAGCATGATGTATTTTGGCAAAAAAAAATTGTAAGTTTAGCCGTCGAAAAACTATTTTAAAAAAAGACTGCACCCTCTAAAAAACAGACAAATTAGCAAAATCAGAATATGTAAGGAAAGGAAACATCCTTCTAAGCTTCAAAAGTGAGATTACACATCAATACTTATGATACTTTTTACACAAAATATTTATAAGTTACACTCAACCACCAATTAATTCAGGTAAGGTGAGGTTACATTAGGTAAGGTTAGGTCAGATTAAATTAGATTTTGTTGTTTCTGCTTGTAGTGTACCTCCTTTTTTTTAGGAGTTAATGATTGTTGTGAACAATTTTCTAGGTTAATAGATGACCTTTGAAAATATGATCTAGTTTCTAATCATTTTTGAGCCAAGGGATCAAAAGCAGGATTTCACCATAAGGCAGTGACTTTTAAAGTTTCTATATTCCATAGTGCTTATATTTATGTACAGAGGCCAGAGCACACAGATTTGCCACCAGGGGTGTCGATTTTTCAAAATGGTTGGGGGTGCTCAACCTCTGTACCGGGTGAAAGATTGCAGCTTTGCCATGGGGCACAACCGTACATACAAGGCATGGTTGGGTATCCCCATAAGGTACCTACTGATAATCCCGGGATTTCCACTAATATTTCCCAAAGGTTGAACGTTCTTCAGCATCATTCTGCTCGTCCTGGTAGGTACTTGGCTACCTTATTACATAAATATGTTTCCGAAAAAAGTCGTACATTTGCCGGCAGCTGGTTGCAGCCCCGGCACCTCGGTAATAAGGCGACAGTAACCGATGACGGCGATTAGCACCGGTGCAGCAGCCCCTGCGGTCCGCAGGAGTGGATATTGCGCGGAGGGAACGGTAGCTACGAAGCTCTGGCGGTAATCAGACGATCACAATAATCTCTGATAATGACAGGTGATCGCATTTCGATATTTATGGGTTTACAATTTTCCAGTCAGTGGCGTAGCCAGGTGGGCCCGTGAGGCACATGCCCCCCCCCCCCATCAGGTTCAGGGGCCCCTCGGGTTATTCGGGCCTGAAGGGCCCTGCGGCGCCAATTGGCCGCTGAGGGTCCACGTTGGCCATATTTGGACTAAGTAGGGCCCCACAGGGCTCGTAAGAACACCTCATGGGCACACAAGTACCAACATTAAGATCTCCATAAGGGCCCCAAGCCAGCCTCTGAGGCCCACTTGCCGGCCTCTGGGGGTCCTAACCGGCCTATAGGGGGCCAGCTCTAGGAGCTGCACACCCGCCTGTAATGGCCCCACACCCATTTCTCTGAGGGCCCCTATAACAGCGACTGTGAGGGCCCTCACCGGCGCCCCTGAGCGCCACACCGGCGTCTCTAAGGGCCACACACCCCTAACTCTGAGGGCCTACACCAACGGCTTTAAAAACCCTACATGGGCGGTTCTGAGGGCCCTTGTCAGTTACCAGCGACCCTGACGATCCCACACAGGTGACTCGGAGGATCCCAGCGGCGTCTGAGCGCACCATACCAGTCTCTGAGAACCCCACAAGGCTCTTGAAGGCACCGGTGACCTCTTAATATCTTCTTGTCGGCCTACGAAGGGTCCGTTCCGTAACGGCAGTTCTGAGGGCCCCACGCGCGCCTGTGATGGCCCTAAACCAGTGTCTCTGAGAGCCCCCACAACGGCGCCTGTGAGGGCCGTCACCGGCGACTGTGAACCCTCCACACCGGCGGCTCCGAGGGCCCCACATTGCCATATCTGAGGGCCCCACACTAGTGCCTCTTAAGGCCCTATATCGGCGCCTCTGGGGGCCCAACATCGTAGCTTCTGAAGGCCCCACAAGTGCGCATGTGACGGCCACTCTGCCACCGGTGACATTTGAAGGCCCCACACCGGCGACTCTGAGGGCCCCATCGGCGCTGAGTCCGTGCCGGTCTCTAAAGACGACCCCACAGGGTTTCTTAAGGTACCACCGGCCTTTGATGGCCCTTTGTCGGCCTCTGAGGGCCCGTCGCCGGTCTCTGGAGCCCCCTGCCGGCTTGTAAAGGGTACGCGCCAGCAGCTCTAAGGGTCCGACACCCGTGTACGACGGCGGACGGACCCACACCAGTGTCTTTGCAACTTACCGTTTTTCCGCCCTTCTTCTTAAAACTAACTTTTCTTTTCTTTACATCTTTATTTCATGCATTGCAAGTTGTGTAATTGTTTTAGTTTTAGTAGTGAAAGACTGCAGAACCAATTATTTTCTTCAAGCAGAGTTAGTGGGAGTTATTGAGGGACAAAATCATTGGGGGTGCTAACTGGAACATTCGGGGGTGCCCGGAAAACCATTGGGGGTGCTCATTTGAGCATTGGGGGTGCTGCAGCACCCCCAAAGGTATACAAATCGACACCCATGTTTGCCACCATACATGATACAATGGACCATCTCACCAAGTACAAGCTATTTAAACATTGTGCTTCCAGTCTCTCTCCATTTACCCTGCAGACTCCTCAGGACAATGGATAAGATTTTTTTGATAGCATAAAAGAAGGTATTTGTAGAGTATTGAGTGCTGTTAATGTGGGGATGAAATATTCAGTCACCCACATGTGACATGACCTGTCAACAATGCATTAATGCTCTTGGAATAGAGGAATTGAAATGAGTTTTGATTTGACTAAAAAACTCACCTATGGTGTTTTTACTATTTTACAGTATTCTATCAAACTATGTCTTTAATATAAGAATGAAGCAAAATTTTTGATGCGTGTGTATGTCCCCTGGTCAGACCCATATTTTTACCAGGAGCACCAGGAGTTTATTACAAAGTATGGGTGTTGGGAATAGGTACCTAGTTCACTTCCCTAAAATAAGATTTTTGAAATTGATTTACAATTTTTTAAATGAACAGAAAATGAAATAAAACCTTTTTTATAAAAGATTATTTTCTATATTTTAACAAAAGAAGAACTATATTCTATATAAAAGATGTCTGACACCCAAGTTTCTTCCAAAATACACATTGGCCAATCATATTGCCTGGTGCAAACCTATGCATGCTGCATTGGCTCAGGCTGTGAGCGGCATGCTGATTGGCTGACAGTGACTTAGCTGCATTCCTCAGCAAGGCACGCATTCCTCTACAAGGCACTCTTTACGAAACAAGAAATGGAATATCTTCATCTAGGGCGAGTGTTGGGCAGTGAAAGCTCCCGAGTTGTGCTAGTCTCAGCTCAAGCTACGAAACTGCTATTCCAGTTCAAAACCCCCATGTTAAAAGTGAAATATTTCCTTTAACATGGGCTCAAAACCTTTCTGATCTTTGATCGAGCTTTAAAATAAAAGCCACCGTAAGGCATTGTGATCGTAAGGGCCCTGAGGCCTGACAGCTCCTCAATCAAAAACTTCTGACATTCAATATATCATTGAAGGAGAACATAGATAAATTGGGCAGCATTAATGCACGAGCAGTGCTTCCTGTACCCTGTACCCTAAACTAACGACATCACACGCATCACAACCGCGGACCGCCGAATACCGATACACACTAGGGTGGCACTTAGCAATAGGGTGAATTTTATGTTATCCGATTTTTAGGCGTGCGGGTAGTTTTCTGGTTCCATTCCCGTAAAAAATAATGTGTGCAAAATAATTTTGAAAAATATTGATATTTAGGGGTCGCGAATTGAGGTCAAAGTTGGCAGTTTTGGGGAAAAAATCAACTTTTTGGAAACTACTTTAAACCTATTTGGAATGACATATGTGGTCATTAAGCGTCATATCCGACGTATTTTGACCTTTATTTGTATAACAATTGCTTATCCCATCACTTCCGGTCGATCGTAGCCAGTCCAGGTCACGCCAAGACAGGTCTGATCTGGGCTGTTTTACCCATGTCAGGCCTGTTTTTGGCCTGCGACCGGTGCCTTCTCTCTCACAGTGGAGGTCATATCCTCTTATGAGTGTGAGGAGTGAACGGTCTCTCCTGTTCCAAAGGGAGGACGAGCCCCACAGTTCTATCGGTTCTTGAGACATGCTCCTTTTCTGTCAAAGAGAATGTGAAGAAGTTGGAGCCAGCCTATCGCCGGCGGGGGAAAGCAGAGGCGAGAGTGGGCATTGAGCTGCGCTGGTTTATTGTGCTTTCGGGATGTTCTTCCGTGGGCGCTTCTTCCGACTCTACATAGTGCCAGTGCCAGCAACAGACTTACCCGGCCGTTGCGGCGCGCACACGGAGGGAACGTCTTTGACGATGGCGACCATGAGAGAGAAACGTCGACTCACACTCCCAAGCGCATGCGGGCGAGCGCACGTCCCCAACAGTGAACTGGCCTCGACCGGGCCAAACTGCCCAACCGTAATGTGTGAAGAACACGTGAGCCTGTTATCAACTGCGGCACGGAACTTCTGATACGACTCCGGCTGAACCGCGAATCCTGAACCGCGAGAGAAGGAGCGTCGACCGATTCTAGGTCCTGGTGATAGGGGGGGGGGATAAGGGTGGCCAAGCTCCTCGCCGTTCCCAAACTCCCCTCCATCCAAGCACAGGAGGCCATGCTCACAGCGCTGGGAGGCTAGGAACTGGAGAAGCGGAACTGCGGCCTTTTGCTTCGACGCCACGACGGCGAACAGCATGCTGGTGAACGGTACTTTAGCCCTTATCATTTAGGGCCTTGCCCTTATCGAGCAGAAGCTGGATCGGCCCGTCCTCCAGCTGGCCTGCCGGCACCACGTGTAAGAGCTGGTCCTAGAGAAGGCCTTCTCCACCTGCCGTAGAATCTCGAGCGGCCTCTACATCCGGCTGTTTAAGAGGTTCAAAGGCGGATGGGAGTTCATGCTTCATTGACAGGATCACACCGGTGGCGTTCGCCGTCGACGACGTTCCGGAGTGGGACAAGCTGCTGGTAAGCTTCCATCGCTTCCATCGCTGGACTATGCCTAGCTCCGGGAAGACTACCGAAAACTTCTGGAGCTCTGCGTAACTGCTCTCGGTGGAGTTCCAAGCACGGCATCCGTTTCTCCGCCTCAGAGTACTCCACTGAGTTAGGTGGATGGCAAAGACCATCCGTACCGTGGATGCCTTCCTCTTCAGGGAGCGGCTCCGGCTGACGGCGGCCGAGGCCCTGGTCATCAGACGCTGTGCGCTGTTCGTTGCCTGCAAGTTCGCCGCCGCCGCCGCCGCCTGGTCTGGGACTCTACTGCCACTGCGCCGGCTCTGGACCTGACCTTCGTGAACTCGTTCTGCACCTACCCCGACAAGGAGCTGTCGAAGGCGACAGTCCCGGTCTTCGGCCGTCACCTGTAGTAATTGAGTGATCGGCTGGTGACTCTGGAGCTTTTAGACCCCGACCCTCGGGCTCAATCAAGACATGGTGCGGGCAATAGACTTGTAGGAGAGGGGACCCGCCCCGTAAGTCCTTAGTGGACACTATGAACGCCGCTCTCGCGACCGAGACGTTGGCGAGCTTCCTCACACCATCGTTCAAAAAGCTCTCAAGGATACACGACCTGGACGCGGGGCTCATCATCAATGACCAAGGCCACTGGGAGGACAGCGGCTACCAAACCGCAGCTCGTGTAGTCCGGGAGCTGCGGGTGGTGAATGACTTCACCAGGCGCGGTATGGCGCTGATGTAGGACTGGCACTCATGGAAGACAAAGATTAGCGCCAGTTCTTCCTCCATGTCGTTGAAAAGATCACAGAAAACGCTAACCTGACACCCGAAGATCGACTGCAATTGCTAACCAGGCTACACACAAAGTGATCTGGGTGCCCGTTGCCCATGATACCCCTCCCTCCAATGAGGCGCCAATAATCTACTAAAGAGGAGGAACTGGAGTAGTGGAGCACATATACCAGCGTTCTGGCGTGGCCGAAGCTGCATGGAATATCAATAAACAATATGAAAATGACTAAGAAATGCCTTATTATCATCCGATTATAGCGTAATAGGAAACTCAGAAGCGATTTTAATGATATTGAAATATGCTACCAAAATCTCAATTTTTACCTTGATTCGCGACCTCTAAACATCAATATTTTCCCATAAAAATTTGCCTGCCTTATTTTTTACGGGAATGGAACCGGAAAACCACCCGCACGCATTAAAAATCAAAAATTGATTTTTAAGTGCCACCCTAATACACACTGACACTGATACACACCAAATCCCCCCTCCCACGGTACCACGGCATATACTTAAGTATTGTATATGCTTATACTTTAGACATATACATTAGTATTGCCTGTACTTTACAGAGAACTCCTCCAAAGTCCAAACTCCAAACCAAGCTCCAAACCACGGTATATAAACTTGCTCCAAACACTTGCTCCAAGTCCAAACAAAACCAATCAATCCAATGAATTTATGGGAGCGTTTCTTACAACAGCATTTGTAAACTTATTACGTCATAGCTTTGAGCCAATCAAAACGCTACTAGAGAGTTACTTGGATATATTTTACACTTTAATCATTGTTAAAGAGATAATTGTTCATGTTTGATATCTATAACAGAAATAAATAAGATAAGTTTTATTGAACCCAAGAAGTAAAAAGGGTGCAATATGGAATATGAAGTGTTTCGATTAAACGTCATAGAACAAATACTGTGATTATAAAACACAAAATAAACTATAGGCGGATAATGGCGCGATTGTTTCATAAATGGCGCAATTATTTTGGAATTGCTTGTATATTTACCTTGGACTTGTTGGTATTGGTATTGTATAATATATTTTAATTGTATATTTACCTTGGATGCCTGGGTCGCAAGGCTACGCAACTTATTCCAACAACAACAATTATACATTGGCGGACCCAGCTCCGAGTTTTGGGAGGGGCAAAGCACGGGTAACAATTTAGTGGTTCTTTCCATGCACCGTGCATGGGCGTAATGTTAAAATTTGGTTAAAATTATGCCGTTTGGGAGGAAGCAATTGCCCGATTTGCCCTCCCCTGGATCCGCCACTGCAATTATATATTTTTACCGCGTCTCCTACTAGTGTTGTCCCGTAGCTCAGTTGGTAGAGCATTGGACTCCCGGTAGTGAGAGCCCGGGTTCGAGACGCTCCGGCGCTCGATATTTGAGACTCCTGACGGGGATGGTCTGCGGTTGGTGGGAGCAGCCGCAGCCAGTCGAAGTCAGTTGAGTGGGACAGGCCGTGTCCGGCTTTGAAGGGCACGTTAAACTTTGGCATCTGAATTCTCCCGTTACCCGGAATTGCGCGATCGGACGGTAGGGGTCGGGGTCTACGCAACAAGCTCTAGCGTGGGCTTCGGCTCTGTCAATCCGTCCATTCAAACATTCGAGCTAAATTTATAAAAAAGTGTTCGATGTGTTCGATAACTGGGTCTAAAAGAAAAAGCATTAAGTTATAAGTGTTCTTTCATTCGTTCGAGATTCATTCATTCGTTCATTCATTGAAAACGCCTTTTGGGCGAAGAACGAGCGAGCGAGATAGGGAGCCCTGCAGGCCAGGGGCGTAGGATCCTATACAGTTGGGGGGGCTTCAGCCCCCCCAACTTGCTGGTCAGCCCCCCCAACTTGCTAGGCAGCCCCCCCCCCCCAACATGATAAAATATGGACAAATCAAAGAAGACTCAACTTGGCAAGGTTAAATAGTACAATTTTGGGTATTAGTAAAGCAGGCGTCACACTTCTTGCAACCAAGGAGAGACGCTGTTAGGTTAGGCTGTAGGTTGTAGGTTTTAGGTGGTAGATTTTAGGTTGTAGGTTGCAGGTTTTTGGTTGTAGGTTGTAGGTGAGGTTAGGTCAGGTTAGGTTAGGTTTGGTTTGGTTTGGTCCGATTAGAGGGCATCTCTGGAGTCTGGGTATAGCGCCTCTCTTCTTTACGACTACCCAATTTTGACCTTTAAACTAACTGGGGGCTTTGAAAATGTGCATTGCAATGGAGGGAGTAAATTTAATTTAATTTATAAAATGACTTTCGAGTCATTAGAAAGAACATACTAGCAAAACAAGACCAGTAAGGTACACATAAAAATCAACGGTGGTTTTAGCAAGCCTGAAATAATCAATTGGTCAGCATGTTTGATGTTAGAACACCAGTACAGCTGGCGTCACTAAGCAATTTCGGTTGCGGTATTTTACAAGAACCAAGCATTCTGCATATCACTCGAAAACTATATACCTAATTTTATTCTTAATAGTTCCAGATCGTGTACACAAACGAGTACACACAACCTTAACGAAAATAATGCATCAGTTATCTCACCTCCCGAACGTAGTCAAGGCCGGTGAAATATCGTCAGCTGATTATGTTTAGGATTATGTTAAATCTTTAATTAATGATAACGTCAAAATGAATAAAAATAAACAGGCATTATCTTAAAACATTTTCGTAAAAAAGTGCACGTTCACTAACTTTTAACTGTTTTTTTTCATATTTTTTTCTAAGATATCTCTTATGTCCCGCTTTCAGAAAAAGGCCAAATCCTTTTTACGGATTTGACGCCATCGTAGGCATAACCAGCTGACGATACATCACAAAACCTTTGGATGTTACTATGCGTGCGTTCGGCATCCGGATAATCAGGGAAAATTATCCGGTATCAGCGATAATTATCGGGGATTACGGTTCGGTATCGCGATAACGAGACATGCTGAAGATAGGCACTCACCAATATTTTTTCGGCCGAGAATATCCAAACAATAATCTTTTCCGGATGCCGAGCGCACGCTAAAGCGGCGCAGAAAGCAGAAAAGCACAACAAAACAAAGGCGCGACACTCGACAGCTTCGTTTCGTTTGTATAGGAGTGGGTGCAAGGCCATGTGGGTGGAACTCGGACGGTAGGACGGACGATGAGGACAATTGTTCAGAGACGTACCCAAGGGGGGGGGGGACGGGGCGCCCCTTCCTTGGGGTTTTCAGGAGGCCCCCGTGGGCCGAAGGCCACGGGGCCAAAACTACGTCGGAGGCGAAAGAAATTCAAGGGAATCCAAAACTCACGTCAGGACATTCAGGGCCTGTGACCAGCCTGACAGCTAGGGTCCTTCTTACTTCCTGGGGCCTCCTCTGAATAACCACTAGTGTCTGTGTCTGACCGCTAGGGCCCCTCTGACTCCTCAGTAGAGAGGAGGCCCACTGTAGAGAGGAGGCCCCTTTAGAGAGCTGTAGAGAGGAAACCCTCTGTAGAGAGGAGACCATCTGTAAAAAGGAGACCCTCTCTAGAGAGGAGGCCCTCTGTAGAGAGGAGGCCCTCTGTAGATAGGAGGCCCTCTGTAGAGAGGAGACCATCTGTAGAAAGAAGGCCCTATGTAGAGAGGAGGCCCTCCGTAAAAAGGAGACCGCCTGAAAGCAGAAGGCCCTCTGAAGAGAGGAGGCCCGCTGTAGAGAGGATGCCGTCTGTTGAGAGGACTCCCTCAGTAGAGAGGAGGCCGGAGGCCCTTTGCAGAGATGAGGTCCTCTGTAGAGAGGAGGTCCCCTGTACTAGAGAGGACGGGCCCTCTGAAGAAAGGATGCCCTCTGAAAGGGATAGACTCTCAGTAGAGAGGAAGTCCTCTGTAGAGAGTAGCCCTTCTGTAGTTGAGAGGCCCTGTGAAAAGAGGAGGCCCACAGTAGAGAGGTGGTCCTCTGTAGAGAGGAGGCCCTCTGTGTTTTTTTTTCTCAAATTTGTGTACGTAGGGGAGAGAGGTCATATTGCGCCATGTTCTTAAATGCGCCACACCTTCCTCCTGTCCAAAATTCGATTCGAATGAATGCTCGAATGTGTGCATTTACTTCACCACCAATAACTCACTCTTATTCCGGTCCACGGTGGCAGGTGAGGTGTCTCAGCTTTCTCGCAGACCATTTTTTGTGATTTCCTATATTTTCTTACGCGAAACAGTCTATTTCGACCTTTGCTAGTGTCATGGTTTATCTTAGAGATAGTGATTCAACTAATAATCATTGTTAATTGCTCGTTTAATGATAGTTTTGAAAGTTTAACACCACCGTGGCTTCGCTGTCCTCGCCATATTTGAAGCTCATGAAAAATGTGTTCCATTCGTAATTGCGCCCACCCTATTTGCGCCCTATTCTTCAACCCAGAGAAACAGCATCTGGTGGTTGGGACACATTTCATTGAACACTTTGATTATTAGAGCGCTCACCTTACCATTACCTTAGCCTTCACAGCATAAATGGTTAATGGGCTGACACGTTCAAATAGGCTACTTAGTTAGGTGGCAAACCGTTGTTTTTAATAGGGCGCTTTTACATGAGAGGCATGGGCGCTTTTTGATGGGGAAGTCCGTAAATGCGCCCTTTGCAGGTGTGTCGGAAAACTTTTCTCTTGTTAATCTTTATGGGTTTGAAACAAATAAGGAGTTGTAATTTGATGCCAAAATAACTGAGGTACAATTTGAGATATCATCAAGCATGACAGCTGGTCAACTTTAGCCGCAATAGGCCGATATCCTTAAGGTGGCGCAATATGACCTCTCTCCCCTACAGGTCAATACGAGATCGTGGCTGTAATCACACCACCCAACCGTGTCAAATTGAATCGGAATTCATATGTGTACTGTGGAGTGTGAAGAAACTCCGGTTTGTACTACCATGCTAAAAGAGTTGTAAAATTTGTGATTTGGAGCTGTGTTTTGACAAATGCTTTTGCAAATTTTCTCGGCGCTCCGCGCCTCCGATTCATACACCAATCAATAAGGAAGATCGTGACTGTAATAACACTACCCATGTCAAATTGAATCAAAATTCAAATGTGTACTGTTGAGGAACTCCGGCTTGTACTATCATGCTAAAATGGTCTTAAAATTTGTTTTGGAGCTGTGTTTTGACAAATGCTTTTTATTTGCAATTTTTCGCCGCGCTTCTCGCCGCCGATTCACAAACAGGACAATAAGGGAGATCGCTACTGTATGCTACTAATGCATTAGGCTAAAAGTGCGGTAACAATACCAACTTCTAGGTTTTGAAGTCGGTCGATACGCCCCCCCCCAAGAAATCCGTGGCGACGCACTTGTATAGGTGGATTTAACTAAAACTACTGAGCCGAGTGACTTATAACGATAAAGCTTCATCTTAAAAACGCCTTTTGAGCTCGACATACTCGCTCCCCCTCCCCCGGTCGTCAGAATTCATCCATCAGACCCGGCATGTCGGCCGACCTGTAACCCCCCCCCCCCCCCCCCCCCCCACCGCCATAAAAAAACGTTCGCCTAGATCCTCCCTTGCCCTCTGTAGAGAGGAGGACCCCTGTATAGAGGAGGCCCCCCGGGATCCTCCGCCCCCCTGGCCAACTTCTAGGTACGTGCCTGCAATTGTTCGTGCATTTTGGGAGTATTCGTGTGGCTACACGACCAACAACTTAAAAAATAAAATTATGCTTCCAATGATATGCAGAATGCGGGGTTTTGCGAAATACCTACTACAACAGAAATTGTTCCGTAACGGTCCTGCTTTACCGATCACGATCGCCTACTTTGTCAATACCGCTATCGTGGTCCTAGAAGTAGTCGAAGTGGTCCCTCAGGCAGCCAAAAGGGAGCCATTAAACAGTCTACAATCTTTACACAAAAACTAGCCTTTCCGAAATGAAGTGGGTGATTGGTGAAAAATGAGTTCCTAGATTTTAGGAAAGTGAGGGTCCCTCTAAGGAGCCCCTAAAACAGTTTGCCAAACTAGGGGATAGGAATCTAAATACTGATTCAATCAAGAAATTGAATCTCTCATCAGCCTCAAGTATAATAAGAGCATACATACTCGTATACCGTTTTAGTGGCATACTTTCAACTTTGCATTTGAAAAGAGCGGGAACATACACTGCATAAATGTGGTTGCAAAAAGTTGAGCCGGAGTAT